ATTTGTGACTAGCCACTGTTCCATGTCATGTTGTTAAAAATCTATCAAGTGCAGAAAAGTCAGAGAAAGAAACTTAAACATGCAATGTCACCTAGGCTATAAAACCCACAATAAATAATATAATACATCTGAATGTAGGTAAAAATGGGGATGGGCGATCCTGTATAAAATCTTTCTACACTATGCCTGAATGAAAGGTGCTCATATACAGAGGCAGCAGACTATAGTAGTAACTGTATATCAGAAAAAGCTTGGCATTCATAGAACACAGAATGTTGCTTCAAAATTTTAAGATAAAAGTTTCACTGTCTTGAAACTGTATAAGCGAATAGCTAATTGATCAATTAATTCAACACTTCTTTAACAAATACTATCTGTCTTTCTAGATATAAACCTAAAGTTAGTTTATTTTTTCTTTTTTTTAAAGTTTTTTTTTGGGTGTTTTAGCCTTTAATTGATAGGACAGCTTAAGCATGAAGGGGGGAGAGAGAGAGGGAAGGACATGCAGCAAAGGGCCACAGGCTGGAGTTGAACCCGGGCCGCTGCAGCAACAGCCTTGTACATGGGGTGCCTGCTCTACCACTAAGCCACCGACGCCCCAACTTAAAGTTAGTTTATGAATATTTATATACAGTGCACATTTCATGTCTAAAGGCCCTGACACACCAAGCTAGACGGCTGTCATTCAATGTTGGGCCATCATTAAGTATCTGTCACCCTAGTCTTTGCAGTGTGTCCCACACCAATGGCCCTCTTTGGCCCTTCTCAGCTTTTTTTCAGCCAATTCAGCCTGTCATTTCAGTGTTGGAGGCCATCAGTGAATGAAATCACACTGATTAGCAGTTCAGGTCAGCGCACAAGAAGAGAAACAGAAGTGAGGAAAGTAAACACAGGGCTTCAGTCAAGAGGGAGTGAGATTAAAACAAACTTTATATATATGGTAAGACTGTTTTTCTTGGGCCATTGAGCTCTTGACAGAAACGGTGGTGGAAATGGTTTGTGCTGTTGTTCACTGGTGCACAGTAAATATGATTTCAAAACTAGATTTCAAAACTAGACTGTGTTGTTATTGTGCCAACAAGCATCTTGAATCAGTCTTGTCGGTCTTGAGGTTTCCCTCTTTTAATGATAAATACAGACTACCGCCCCCTGCTGCTACGGTGCGGAATGTACATACAAGTTTGCCAACTGTAGTCCGCGGTGTGTTCAGTTTTTAACTTTTTGGCCTAAACACAGGCGACTTGAGATGACGCTTAGTTCAGTTTCATCAGAGAGGAGACTAAAGGAAACTTTGGGGAAATTTTAAGTTTCCTTCTCCTGTGTTTTCCATGGCCTGCCCTGAGAGCTGTTATTGAGCCCAACTGTAATCTTCAGTGTTCCCACAGAGTGACAGAGCATTGGGAGGTCATTGTGTCCTCAGGTCAAGTTAGAGGACACAGGGCCAGCAGAGGGACAGAGCATAACGGGACAGACTGAAGGAAATCCTGCTTCAAACCACACAGGAAGACCACCTCCTTCCGTCCATCGGTCTATCCCGCTGCAGTCAGGTGATGATGAGGGGATGAATGCTCTTCCCTCAGCAAAAGACAAAATACTTCAGCAGTCTAATCAACGCCACATGGTATAATCATGATGGACAAAACTTTGAGGTTTGTTTATGCTGTTCTTGTTGAGCATGAGAGGAAAGATTATATAGCAGCTATTTCATCTGTAATGACACATTCCCCAGAGGAGTGTTCATATGAAGTCCTGACAGCTGTGACATAACAGCAACACCAGTTCAAAGACTGCAGTGGCAAAACTGAAATAATAAAAACAATCAAATGAAATAGTCATTTCACCATATCTCTTCATGCTGCATGAAGATATCAACATTGTGTTTAGACCAACATCTTGTTGTGGGCCATACAGACACATGAATTTCTGTATAGTTCCTATACACCAGCCTGTGAGAAGGAAAAAAAAGGGATACCAGGGACCAAAGGACTGGAAGTAAACAAACATTGCAAGCTCAAAGCAGGGGGAAAGAGCAGAAAATCAGGATCAGACAACACTAATTATTTAGCTTATGCTCTGATCTTTTATCATTTAACTGATTACAGCCTTCCTTGATATCTTTGTACTGACTTCATCCTCCTTTTTTAATCCTGTATTTCAGAGAATCCAAGCTTTTATCTAAATACATCTGCTGATAGTGCAAGTATATTTCATCATACACTGTAAACAGTGCAGACTGATGTCTCCTGCTTGGCTTCACAACATCTTATATCTGTAATCATGTAACTGCTGTAAAATCTGAGGTTTGACCTCTGCAATAGCAATCACAACATGAACATCGTTTCTTAGCCGCCACACTGTGTTTCCAAATCACAGGATGAATAGTTTCTCAAATCACTTTCAGTAGGATGTAACCTGATCTTGGTCTATTGTCTTACCAACTAATAACCAACAATTCACAACACCACCAAATTTTTACTGACACAATATGGATGTTGGTTATTTATGCTTCAAAGCTCAAGGTTTAGCTTTGTCAAATCCTAACAGGATGTTTTTAGAGCAGCAAGATGACACAGCATTCAGAGACAATGTCCTTCAAGAGCAGGAAACGGGTTGAAAACACTGTTTCCTCTTCTTTCAATGCCATTAAGCAAAACCCTTTTAGCTATATACAGCTGAATCTCATAACAAACTGATTGACACAGTGGTAGTCCAGCAGCTCCTGTGTTCAGCAAGGTAAAATGATTGTTTCTGTCAAAGGAGTCTGGCAATGAAGAGAGCAAAGATTTAGTTTCACTTCCCGTTCAGTTCCCCATCGGTAAGGGCTGCTTGTTTGGGAAGCACTGAGCACTGGATAAATGAGACTTGGATTTTACTGCTTGAGTTGTGTGAGAGTTTGTAAACAGATGTTTTGATATAGTTTTGGTGTTACTAAATGCTGTCAACAATGATTTTTTAGGGCATTTTTTGCCTTTAATTGATAGGATAGTGAAGTGTGAAAGGGAGAGAGAGAGAGAGAGGGAGAGACATCCAGCAAAGGGCCACAGGCTGGAGTCGAACCTGGGCCACTGCGGCAACAGCCTTGTACATGGGGCGCCTGCTCTACCACTAAGCCACCGACACCCCAACAATGATTTTAATTCATTAAGATTTTTCTCAGTCTTTGTATTATTGGTTTATCGTGGAGGCATGCGAAAAAAAAAATATTTTCTTCACAAATTTAATGTAAGCTGGGTGAGTAACTGATATATTAATGGTCATTTGGGGGTGACGTATTCCTTTAAAACACAGGTACAAGCATACCCAACATGAACACAGGTGCACACTACATACACTGCAGTAACTCTGAGTCTCTTGCATATTACCTTACAGCATATAACAGGAGGAGGGCGCTGTTCTTCCAACGCAAGCAGATAAAAGTTACAGTAGACAGTAGTTAAAGGGCCAGTGTGTAAAATGGGTTGAAAACAGTGACATCAGTGGTCAAATTCTAGATTGCAGGGCTCACTCGCTCACCCCTCCCATTGGGTAAATGACAGCGGCCTCGTAGGGACAAAAAGCCTTGCGCACAAGTTTTTCAGGAGTAGGTCTATCTAGCGACAAGGTGAATATTTATTTAGAAATCTAAACCATGTTACGATATTGTAATGAATCCCTCACGAGCAGGAGACCAGAGGAGCGTTCGGGAAAAAGACCAGTTTATTTGAGCACTCCAAAAACTCTGGTAACACTCCAGGGGGTAAAAGACTCCATCCCAAACTCTGACTCTTCTAGCGTAACACACACACTTGATACACACATACTCGTTTACCATACCGAGTGGGCACCCCCTCCCCTCTCTGCTCCACCAACCTCCAGCCCGCACACTGACTGACAGCGTAGCCTGTAAACAGAGCTCAGCTGTTTATTTAGCCTAGCAATATCTCCAGACTATAGTAGCTGCAATGGACGACTTTGAACGCGTTTTTGAAGACTTTCTTGTAGCGGGCACAGACCCAGAGCCATACCTGTTTGAGCCGGAGCATACAGATGAGGAACTCCATGTGTTTGATGCTGAGCGGGCGAGAAGAGAGGCTGAATGCACAGAATGGGATTCAGTGCTACTGCTACCATCGTTGGGGAGATACATCATCAGGAGGAAAAGTGCTGCAGAGAGTGCATCACAAGGAGTGAAGTTGCGTCTTGTTTTCCTCGCAGATGACGGTTCGGGTTCATTCTCTCCTGTTGCGTGGTAAGTGTGGTCCATTCGCAAACTTTATAACTAAAAAAACTTTTCACTACTCTCTATCGACGAACTACTAACACTCTCTGCTGTTTCCTCCTCCTTCTTCCTTCCTTCCGCTGTCTTCGTTGGTTCATTTATACACGCGAAACGCGTTCTCTGGCTGGCTGGATTGTCCGCTCGGTCTGCCGTACATACATGGCGGCGCAAGATGGCGACCTCTCTAAAGCAAGGCCCTTGCTATATATATATATATAAAAGCATAATTATAAGGCTACGAAAACCAAACGAATTTTATTTTATAGCGATTATACACTTATATAAACATATCAATGGGTAGAATATGAATATTCAGATTCAGATTCAGATTGCTGTAAAAAATGCTGTTGAAATTTATTCAATAGATATACTGAAGAAGTAATTTCAGTCAGTCTTATACATCCAAAGGAAAGTAAAAAGTCTTATACATCTGTCCCATGGCACCTCTTCTCTACTACTCTTAAATCAAGCCTGTCTCTGCTGCCCTTCCCCCCTCATTTTCTGCTCTCCTGAACCTCAACTTATCAGGCAAACCGCCTCGCTCTGACCCCCAACATGCAACACCCAGCCCCCACTGCAACAGAGACAGGGTGAACGGGGGTGAAACATGTCCTGGATATGTGAGGTGGAATGCATGTGCTGAGAGGAGTTGTTGGAGAGAGGCAGGGGGCTGATAAGCCTGGTGGGTGGAGAGAAAGTGGGATGGATGCAGGGAGCGCAGGAGGAGGGAGAGAAAGGGAGAAGGCGCTGTGGACTCAATCAGATGGGGAGGTAAAAGGGGAGGGCAAACAGAAACAAGTTTGACATATTTAAGACAAAGACCACAGCAATTGTGAGTCAAGTAGTTTCCAGCCACTGAAGAAGGAGCATCTTTATGTTACCACTTTATAGCAGCATAGGAATTTGTTTTTGCACATGGAAAAGAAAACAGAGACTCTGGGGCATAATCAGCTCCACTGACAACTCTGGATAGTGGAGGGAAGAAGCAGCAGGAGACCAGGGCCACAGGAAGCCAAAATACCACCATACCACCACTAAATAGATAAGACTTTAGGGGGGAACCTCTAAAAACACACCAAAGGCGCTTCCAACCTCACGCAAGGAAAGGAGGGGAAAAGTGACTCTCTACTTCTAGAGAAGAAATTGAGAGTTGAAGGAACAGAGTGACAAATAAAGGGAATTAGTTGAAGTGTGAGGGGAAAACGTGTGCGTCAAGGATTGACTGGACAGAAGTGGTCTCGACAAGAAGTGAGAAAGCAGCACCAATCTGGAGGACGAACAGCAAGAGGTCTACCGGGCCCCACAGCACAATGTGAGTACAAGAGCAGCTGCATCACCCAAACGCATTTAAATCATATTACAATGATTTAACCACCGAGGCATCTCCACACAACCGATTACAGTAAAAAGAAAGTAAAAGATTTTATATACTTCCGATGAACATAAAGCAACAAGTCTAACAGTTTTGAGAGACATAGAATTAATTATCGCAGCTGCTTTGTAACAGACAATAGAATAACCGCATGACAGAACAATAGAAAATCTTCATGCAGCATTCAAGCATGAGGACACTGCAATAACTAACAAAGCATCTATATAAAGCCATGCACACTAAGAGTTTAGAATAAACCAAGAAGATGTATTGTGTGTCTACATGCCATGATGTGGCAGCTACATTAACATCATTGTACAAATTTTCCTGATTGAGAATTCCTTAATTTTGGTCAGACAATGATATGACGTGTTATTCAAAGAAATGTTATTCAAACAATAATAAGAACAGTGAGTAAAATGGGTGGAGAGCCTAAATGTATTTTCAGTACGGGGCACAATGAGTCACCCCAGACACATGTGTGTGAGCGCATACACACTTTCCTTCCTGCGTGACCTTACACCTTAAAACAACACTTGAGACAACAATGGGAAACAGACGTAGAAAATAAACAACACTCAAGCACCCAGGACAGCATCGTAAATATTGTCCCCTGCTGTTAATATTGATATTAAGTGAGTGTCAACAGAAGTGCAAGCTGAGGTGTTTTTTTCCTTGCATGCATTCAGTTTCAACTTCAAGTGCACATTTATCAAATAAATACCCCAATATGAGTAAGAGTAGTGACTCCACTCAGGTATATGCTGGATCTCATGCTAAGTGAACCATCTAACAGAGTGACCGACACTGAATATCTCTTGTAGGGCTGGACAGCCGGTTGTTGCATTGGCTAAATAAAGCAACCGTTTCACTACACCAAAAATTTGCAGCATTTGTTGTTCGCAGTAATACCACCTTAATATTATTTTACTATAATATGACCTGTTACGCCACCACAAACACAGGTATATAGTCCTCTGTTGGCCCTTACAATTCAGCGATAGATTCTCTCATGTCAGAGCTTCCTTGTGTTGTACAAGTACAAAAAAAGTATGCCATTATTTAGTAGTGACAATGCCACGATTTGAGCTATCACATTACTGTGAGAGATACATCTCTAATGCAGTTAAACAAATTATTCAAGAATGACCCCTTTAAATCAAAGTATCTTCATGCTAACAGGAAGGACTGCATATGTGAGAGCATTCATCACCAGTCTGTCAAGTTGACAAAAAGGAAATACAAACAGGTTGACTATGTCATCCGCATTGGGATTTTTCCATTACTGTAGTTTTTTGGCAGCAGCGCTGGTTGTCCTCTGCCTGACTGGAGCGTCACTGTCTCCTGACCTTAGAGAAGTGAGGATATCCTGCACCAGACACAGCTGCGCACCACATAAAATCTGTCATAACACTGACTGAATGCAAACTAAAGGAGCGTGGATCACAGCAGACCTTACATAGAGGACCTAGCCTCAGAATGTGAAAATATAAGCTTTGAAATGCTGTTTGACGACATTTCACAAGTGTTTCATTATAAACCAAAAGGCAAGTTAAACAGGCGGTGTGCCATAATCACACCATATATTAAACATTTTATGCTTATGAGGCCATTACTAAACAATTTATCAATTATCAAGTGCTTCTATGACATAATTGTCTCCACACTTTACTGATACCAGGGGCCAATAGCAATATGTGAGAGAAAAAAAATCTGATAATGTTATCAGTTTTTTTTTCATTAACACGAAGATTTTTAGATGAGGAAACGTGCAAGTTTTTTATTGTGACCAAATGCACAGTATTGTGCAGGACGTGTTAAAGTTAAACTATTTTTAATGTTGTTGAGAACAAGTTTTAAATGTATTAACCGAGGTGGCACAATATAAGCATCAATTTGTATGTTTTGTTCTAATTAAATGCCATTAAAGGCTGCATCTGAACGTCTGTCTGTAATACCACCCCTACTTAACCCACAGGCATGACAACATGTATAAACACAAGCACACGGTTGTACACAAACAAACTGTTAGCAGACAGTCAACCTTCATCTCTCTACTACACAAACCGCAATTACGGCCCCTTTCCTTTTGGACAATCAGCTCTCTGATAACCATCACCTCACAGGCATCACACAAGGCTTGCTTCCTGACGGATAAAACCTGTAACCTCTGAGTGAACCCAGAGCTACGAAGCCTTTGAAGAGTGGAATTTGATTAGGTAAAAAAAAAAAGTATTGTGTACATATGGCACCAGACTACAATACTCACCAACTATCTAAAGATATGTTTTCCAAAAATACAGCCTCCCAACATACTAATTGGGGCCAACCCAACAGTTTCAAAACAACTGGAATGGTACGCGCAATCCTGACGACTCTGTAACTGATTGATGTATTTATTTTTCTGCCCACAGTTCACTATGAGTATGACAGGTACTCTAGAGAAAGGGGCCCATCACCAGGCCTTGGACCTGTCCGAGGAGCTGCCACCTCATCACCACCATCACCATAACAACCACCACCAGCATCTTCACCACTCCAATTCCCTGGCCTCAACCACTGCTGTGGGTGGAGGCAGAGAAACACCTTCACGTGTAGTTGTACCTCCTCCTTATTCTGCAGCTGAGAGCGGTGGTGGGGGCAGTGAAGCTCCTCTGGAGCTGCGAGGGTCCCTGGACTGCTGGGCCTGCTCGGTGCTGGTGACAGCTCAGAACCTGATTATTGCTACGATCAACGCCTGCCTTGCTGGACTGGTGTTCGGGACCATCCTGACGCCAGCCATCGTCATGGTGTCGTTTGGCTTTCTCTGCCACTCTACAGTAAGAAAGGGGCCATGGGGGGCAGGGAGGTTGAATGAGTGAGTGTGAGCACCGTGTGCATGTTGAAGGATTTTGATTTGTTGAGGCTCTTTTTCTGCAAGGCTCTTCATCATACTCATCTACAACCAGCCAGTTAGCTGTCACACTACAGCAGGCCAAGTGCTCACTCAAGACTCAAATTTTGCAAGACTTGTGTGTTCACTTTTTTGGACAATTTAAATCTAAGCTCCAGAATACTATTATGAATACTATTATGTTTAAAAATTTATCAAGAGCATACAAACATTTGGTGCGAACCTTTGTGCAGAAACCAGTTTTCTGGGCAAAAAACTACTTCAATACTTCAACAGTATTTTATCAGACACATAATTCACCTGTTAACATAGAGTCTGATATTTGCTGCCTTCGTTTGATTAAAATAAGTAATATACCTCAACACATTTCAGTCCTGTGCAGTGCCCTTGGGTGTGAGAGTGGAAATGTTTCCATGTTTGTAAGGACAAATGTTTACACATACATTTGCTACATCTAAACAAGAGATGAGAGAAATGGGGAGATGGCTACATCTGTCTTTTTCTAAAACATCTAAAAGTCCTAATCTCATAACTTTGATTCAAAAGTTTGAAATAGTTGTGCCTGGGGCTTAGGGTGGAGTTTAGCTCAATCAGCGATGAGATGTTTCATAATCAGATAAGTCTGAGGTTCTTTCAGATGTTGAGGAGACGGAAGAATTGGCGGGGGCGAGGGGTCAGGAGTCTGGGGAGCCAGACGCCAAAACACAAAACTTAAAAAAGACTGCTTGGTAGCTAGTTGGGGATTAAAGGATGCTTTGAAACAGACAATATAAAAAAATAAGGACAACTAGCAAGTCAAACAAAACAACCTATTAGTCAGTTAACGTCAACTTAGCTACCCAAAAAAAGTCATCATGGTTCAGAGACTTTTAATGCCTACCGATAGCATTTCTGTAGGCCCATGACCTCCTTAATGACCTGAGAGACCAGGATTCTCTGTTCTTCGGCTCTCTCACAATTAGGCCTCATGTGACAGCAGCTTAGAGAGGGATTAACCAGGACCTGGGAGGATGGAGAGAGAGGGGGAGAAATCAAAGAAAGGGGGTGAGAAAAAAAGGAGAGAAAGACAGGCAGGACAAGTATTTAGGGTTCTTGGAAATAAGCAGACAACACTGGGAACACTTTCAAAATAGTTGAGGGAATTCTGCTTGCAATAGTCATCAACAAATACATCCAACACAATATTTCACTTGACAAAATAAGCACAGACTCAATAAAACCTGGCCCAGATCTTGAGCCATACAGGAGGGCTCAAAAAGTAAAAACTAACACGGACATACTTGTGTGAGTCTTATCTGTTACAACCCTCAAAGCTCCCCTGCACCCTCCTTTTACCCTTTACTTTTTTTTTAAACCATGTACTGCAGTTTAAACCATCCCTCTGACTTGCTTACTCGTCCCTTAACTCCCTACCTCCCTGATGTTTTACTTTCCCTCTCCAGCTGGGAAACTTTCTGACCAGCTGTACATCTATCAGGATAGCATCACAATATTTCTGCACTTTTGTACAAAAGGTATGCAACTACCAAGACATGGAAATGATCATTTTCAAGCTTTTCACAATTGTGTGAGAGCCTTTGTATTATATAAGTACTAAATAAATGCTTTCTCCTAAAATGCTGATGAATCAAACCAAAACCTCAACCTTACTGGAGCTTCATCTCAGTGATCATTGATTTTTAAAAAGACAAAAAGTACAAAAGTTTAACTTTTCAGCTGCCTTGTCAGCATGCCCTCTGCTATAATAAATACTCTGCTCCCCCCATGCTCCTCCCTCAGGCCTGCAAACCTTTTTTACTCTCTGCACTTTCCTCATACACTTGAATGTTCACTTCATTCTTCATGGGGCGATAAGGATGATTCAGGCCTGCTGTCTCTTCATTCCTCTCCCACACTCAAATCCTGACCCTTTTACCTCCTCTCCCACTCCCCGAGTGTTCAGCTCAGCAGCAAGTGTACATGCTTTGACATGCTGAATATACTGATCAAGTAGTTTGATTTATCTTTATTTTTGACAAAATGAAATTTAGTTGCTTACTGATTCAGTGCATGTAAGAGTGTGAGAGATCTCAAACTACCAACTGGTGTCTGTCCTCCCCTCAGACACACATACCACAGAGAGAACGTCATCTGTTGTCCTTATCTGTTCTTCCCTGCACTTTACATGAGTATTTAAATCAGTATGTGCAAAGAGAACTCAAAACACAGAATAAAACAAAAGTATTGCCCAATATGTGCCACAGCTGTGTCCAATTTTAAAATCTCTGGAATTTGAATAGTATAATGCTATTGAAAAAGTCACATCCCTACTGCACACTGCTTAAGTGTCTTTGAGGAAGACAAGAGACCCTACCAGCTGCAGGCCCAGCTGCTCTGAAGCTGCTCCTGACCTTTGACCTCAATCTGAGAGGTTTTATCTGAGCATTACTAAACACAAAATAATAATACATTTAAGTCAAAAGAGAAGGAAAATTCATTGGGGAAAAGGAAAGAGTAGTACTTGTCCTTCCCTATTATGACAATGGAGGTGCCCTTGAGCACCCTAATTACTCCAGTAGAGCTGGCCAACAGATCAGACTGGGGTTTTATTGGGTGCAGGTATGCAGGTTTTAAATCTGTGCAACTGTGTGAGAGTGGTGCTTTCCTAAAACTGTGTTACTCTCAGTGAAGCAACCCTATTCAAATAAAGGTTTAAAAAATGTCGACATAAGTGGCACGCTAGAAGAATGACAAACTTACCTCTACAACATCCTGATGCCACATCATTCCAACTAATGTCTTCTTGTCTCCCTAGGTCCGCCCTCACGGGACGACCCCCTATTGCTCAGACCTGCTGACTGACGGAGGCTGCGTGGCTCTGCTGGTGGTGGGCTTCCTCTTGGTCACCCCTCTGTTGGTCCTGGCGCTTGCTGCATACTGCCGCCTAGCCCGACACCTCCAGCTGGGCCTGTGCTTCATCCCATACAGCCGGGCCGTGTACAAGAACCTGCCGGCCACCCAGCACCGTGGCCTGGGTACTGGCTGCTGCGGCGGCCGAGATGGAGCCAGTGGTAGTGGGAAGGGAAAAGTCTGGGTCTGAAAGTGAAGATGAAAAGTGGGGGTAGAGGGAGGTGGAGGTGAGGAAGACCATTAAATGAAGACTATGAAGGGAACTGAACAAGAGAACAGGGTGGTGGGTTGTATAGGATGATTAAATAAGGCAGTGAATGAAGGGACCAGCAAAGTGTGTACCAGAGAAGGGAGGAAGTTGTCAACGGAAATTACTGTAACAACCAGCTGAACATCCTGAAAGACAAGTTACATTGTTATAAATACTGACTAATGACTTACAGCCTATGACTTAACATCAGAGCAACAGTATTGATTGTACACAAGAAAATGTTCATAGTATACTAATGAATTATGGGGTTTTTTTTTGTATTATTCCACTGGACACCTTGGCTGTTACTTCTTGTAACTTTCCAATTACAACATGGCATCTTTAAGTATGGAGCAGAGGACAAACACAGCATGCATTAACTAGGAAAGAGCCATTCCCAGGATAAATCATATATAGAAGTCAAATGTATACTGTTTCATGTAAACAATTTTAGAAAATGAAAACACCACAATACTAATATGAAGAATTACTAGTTAATAAATCATGGCAAGAGTGACTATGTAAATCAGCAATTATTTTAAACAATCAAAAGGAACCAATCTGCAGTGGTTAAAGACGTGGCACATTGGATATCCTCAATTCATTATGAAAAAATAAAACATCTAATCAAACCTGCATACAACCTTATCTTTCCTGAACAAATCACAGGAAATTGTAAAACTGAAAATAGCACACTTCACAAAGATTGGATTAACACGAAACATAATTGTATCGCATCACATTATGTTATGAAAAACATTTGTCTACTGTAGTTTTCTGTTATGTTGTTGCAATTTATTGTGTTATTACCATTTTATAAATAAAGTTTTTGGATTTAGCTGGAGTCATGTCTTCCCTGTACTGGCACTGAGCGTGATGGGTTGAGTCTACTACTAGGAAAAGGAAAGGATTATTCAAGAGGGGTTCCAGGTAAAGAGTGAACAAACTGGCCGCAGTGCCAGCCAACACCACTGGGAACGTACACTCAATTCAAAAACACGACAGAGTGCCACTGGAGCCACTCTACTTTGCTGTGGAAACACTCACTGTTGCAAGAAAATGTCCCTTGAGAAATCAGGAATGAGAAATGATTACAGTGAAATTTATCAAATGCAGCCTTGTGACTGAGCACACAAAACTCAACTGTGGTAAGCTTCACAGTGGGTAGTTGCTGTCTCCCCCAAATGGTGGAAGAGTGGAAGGACACATAAAAAAATTGACAAAGACTGTTCTCATAAAATTACCTGTGTGTAACAATATGTTACATGTGTACAAGTATACTAAAGGCCTGTGCTTCCCAACCTTTTTGGCTTGTGTGACCCATTAAATATTTTTGTGTATTTTTGCTTTCCTAGTCAGCTCATCATCTCACAACCCAAGATTAATTTTGGGAACCACTGTTAGTAAGCATTATCCTTCCAATGAATTGACCTTATCAATCAGAGACATAGTTGCCGAAGTACTGTAATCCCATATCAAAGACTTTAGGGACTGTTCATTACTTATCAAAAGAGGAGGGTGGCTGGGGTGTGACTTTTTTTTTTTTTTTTTTTTTTTTTAAACACTCCTTAAAGCTACAAGTATTTTCCCTTGAGCCTCTCTGGGTGACCTGCATAAAATCCATGACCCTCCCGTTATTCAATTTTTAAAACTTACCCTTTGATATTTGAAAGTTAAAAGTCAAAGACAAAATCCTGGAGTAGAAAAAAGGCCTCAGTTTTTCATGCTTGTCATGCATGCTGGTTAGATAGTACAAACAGTTTACTCTTGGCCAAATTTTACATGAGAAACATAGAATAAAGTGATTTGATGAAATATCATTAAGCTCAGACTTGGTTGTTTTTCTCTGACAGCAGTATTTGTCGCACATGATGTTTCCAAGGACTATCGGAAATTTGAAAATCCAACAATGATCTCTGTTTCATAATTGTTGTTTTACGGTTTTTGGCCATAATATATGCTGTATTTTTTTTTCATTCAGGCATGTTTTCTTGAAAAATCTAAGGTAAAATAAATACAAAATCCAACTGGTTACATTTTTATGCTCCTCCCCTAAGCCAAAATAAATATAAAATAACAAAAAGTCTCTTACCTTAAGTGAATTTGTGAACACGCAGCACACACTACATTCGTTAAACGCATCCATCCATCCATCCATCCATCCATCACAATCAATTTGTACTTTTATATAACTGCATCATAAATGATTATCTCTGTGTATTCAAGTACTTGCTGTGTTTATAAATGATTCTAACAACATTGTAGAAAAATAACTCATTCAACGATTAGTATTTAAAGTATGGGTATCCTGAATTTATTCATCACTACACTCTCATTCACAAGCATGTTGTCATTTACATTACATTAATTTTGCCGCTAAAGCAGCTTACTTTAAGTGCATTCAACCATGTGGGTACAACCCCAAAAAAGGTGCAAAAAGAACCAGACAACTACCTCAACTCCATCATAATCACCTAAATGCAATCATGCATCTTTTGACAAAGGGCCAAGACGGGGCCTGAAGAGATAACTTTCCTATCTACATAAGTAGTTGCATTACACTTAAATCTTAGCTTCTAAATGAAATATATTATTAGGCCTATATTTTACACACAGACACAGGGGATGGTGTGAGCGCAGTCCCCCACTACCATAAATTTTGCATTCCAGATTCCCACATTTGATGAATTTGCAGAGGTCAGAAAGCCAGAGCACAATGACAGTGCCTCTCCCTGGATGAACCACCTCCATGCCCATAGCATCACCCCCTCCATGTAAAGATGATGAAGACCTACTCCACAGGAGATCATCTTTCAGCCACATATGAGTCAGCTTCGTGGTGTCATGGAAGCAAGGAGCCATACATTAACAGGGTGAGCATAATGATCAAACAACTTGTGCACCATTCGTATAACATTACTTTTAAACTATAAAGGACTAATCATAAACCATTAGTATTCTTGCATTTTCCCATCATGATTCATCATTGTTTAGGTGTCCCGTGGTAGATTACTTCCGGGAGGGTTTGGTTTTCACTTTTGCAAGCGAATATAAACATTTGCGTTCAATAAGCTACTGTCTACACGGTTTATTCTTCAAATTTTACTTGATACAAATGTTAGTTTCATTCGTAGACTACAGGAGCACCTGCACAGTGACACTTACATCTCTCTGAAAACTATTATTTGTCCCTTATTTAGGCTGCTCCATCTATTGTCAAACGACATGTTCCATTCCACTTTTTTATGAGTAGTGGGAACACAGCCTTTATAAACCTCGACTGCTACTGAAGGTAAAATATCTGGTAGACCAACAAACCAATGGCTGTATACAGTCTGTGGTAGAAAGCCAAAGCGACAAAATAATGCTTTGATCGTATGAGATAATCACACATAATGGGATTTGGGCGCCACCTGGTGGAGTACACAATTAACTACATCCGTATTAGACAACATTTCAGTCCCAGGTGAAATAAATTGACATTTACACTCGTTGGAAAACATTTTAGTCCAGTAATAAGGCCACACTTAAGAAAAAAGTGGGTGGAATAATAATACACCGAGTATCATACTCCTAAAAATATTACCCTTTGACATATTTAAGTCACAGCTGCAGTGAACACACTTCAGGGGCTTAAACGCCTGGTGGAGCTGTTAGTGGTTTGGGGAGAACATATTTCCCTCAGTTAATTAGGCTGCCTGAAAAGTCATGTTTTCATCACCTTAAACTGAAACTGTATCCACACACAAAAGCGTTTGAAATAATTTCAGATATTTTAATAAGTAAAAAAAGGTCTGCTGGGTTTTCCAGGGAGCAAACTTACCTTGGATGAAGAAAAGGGCCGCCGTTGGTGACGTTACAAGTATGCCACTAAACTCCAAAAAGTTGTCTCAAAGTCATGTCACGGTCATTCCTCCAGCAGGACACGACAGTGTTTTTAATAAAATGCTACAGATTTAATAAATTGACCAGTATAATTAAGCCATTATACCTATTTTGAGCACAGGTATCGAAGAGGCGAGGAGCGGTCAAAAAAAGTCCTTAATTAGTTACACGTGCGCAACGCCGTTCGTGTCCAAATTGACCGGAAGTAGAAATTAAAGGACATGTCCGTATTTTTTTAATGTTCTTAGTTAAATAAAACACTCAAACATGGAAAAGTTAAAAGCAGGGCCACAAGAGCATCTGAAAATTTATTTACCAGTTCATTATTAACAATAATGAATGCTTGTTATGCATTCTGTAAAACAAATAATGGTATGAAACACAATTTTTGTATGACAAAACAGAAAATTGAAAATGACAGCAATGAAATGAAATGATAGATGTGAAAAAAACAGCCTCTACATTAAACTGTTTGTTGCTAGCGTTCTATTGGATAAGTTAGATAGAGTAGGTTGGTCATAGTATTGCCCAGTAACCCTGCTCTTGTACATGCCTGTACCACTCTGATCACCACTGGCTCCAAATATCTCTGAATGATCAGGGTTTAATTATTTTTACACCACAGTTAAATGAAGTTTATGCATTGGCATGAAATTACGGGCTATATGTGATCAAATATTGTATTTGTATTTTAAATGTTTCAGTCTGTCATTGTTTCCATATGATTTCTGTAGTCACTGCAGAACCAAGGACAGCTCTGCAACACTACAGGGCCAATGTGAAAGCTTTTGCAATTGCAAGGGCCTCTGAATAAAGACATTTCAATCTGGGGTTTGAACCAAGAGGTACCTGTCCTCTTGAAGGACACGTCAGTCACACTGCCGCTCCACGTTTTGCTTTCTAATCGTTGGCTGCATGTTTAGCCAGGTAATTACCTGTTAAGCTGCTGCAACTGAAGGAGGTCAGGATACAGAACAGACAGGATAGTGTGCAGCCATTCACAATACAAGTGGAGCACTACTCAAGGAGGACGAGAAGGGCTGTGCTGCTCGTTTTGCTGTTTTCTACTCTAAACATTTAGCAGAGGGAATTAAGGTAAGCAAACTGCAGTGAAGTAACTGGATTCATATTTAAGATGTTGGATGTCAAAGATTAGTGGTGGAACCAAAGAAGTTACTTTTGCATTAAAGTCTTTTCATAAACATGAGCTTTGATCCTCTTGCAACCTTTCCTTTTGCATCCCATTATGCATTTATAAAAAATATTTTATTAGCACATCCAAAAATGCGTGTTTACTGCAACCAATACAGGCGAAACATTGTTTTTGAGTGAATGTTACCATACACACTGTATATCCACAGCATGTCTAAAGCAGAAGAGCGGACAGCCTCTACAAGTTCAGTCAACTCAGCTGCATCAGAAATGTAAGTTTAGATGTACAGCTCTCACTGTATATGTGCAGTTTTGTGGAGGCGCAGTCACCTTTTACAAGCCCCACTGTAATCTTTCATTTACAAACCACGAAATATGCCAATGCCAGTTCTCATGATACATTATGTATGTGGGTCAAGGGAAGTTTTCCCTATAATCAAGGTATCTTCAAATCTTTGCCATCTTTGCTTTTTAATGTTTTTCCCATGTAGTAGCAGAGATGGTTCCACATCAGGTTCAGTCTCTGAAACACCCAAGAAATCATCAAAGAAGTCCAAGAAATCCACTGAGAACATGAACAAAGTCTACAACTCTGTGCTCAACAGTGTTTTTGGGGCGGTAAGTAGCACACATCCACATTTTGTGAATTAAATCAATATTGTTGAACTGGATGTGACCATCTTCTTCTTGGCTATAATGGTGCTTGACCTCTGATGTGGCCCTGTGACCTCTATCCTGCACTGCAAGACGCCATTGAAACAGTTTAAGTAATAGCTTTTTACTTTAAACACCAATTTACCCCACTCTTTATTTAATAAAATTTGTGTTTCAGCTGAGCATGAAGCTTTTCCTCACATTTTAAAGCACTGTGATCTTTTAATGATGGGCTGAGAAAGGCTTGGAGATTGCTTTGAATAAGATCAAAAGGCACAGATGCTCTTCACCAGTTAAAGGCACCGTATGTCAGACATTAAAACATCAGAGTCAGAAGTGAGTTGGAAGTCAGGCAGTGTGCTTAAAGTTTTGTACGTGCTCTTTCTCGAGCTGCTATCACTAAGCTGGGTGTGTCTGCAGCATTAGTGGCTCATTAGCTGAGGCTCACTGTCAAACCCTGTTAGGGTTATCCAAGTGAGGAGCACCACCAAACACTTGGTTGATTCAACGTGAGAGTATTTATTTTTTCCATTGTACATATTTATTGTTGTCTCGCACAAGACAATGAACCATGATCATACCTGAGAATTGCCCTCTATGTCTTCTGTCATTTAATTTTGTTTTACTGCTTATTATTACTTCAACATGCAGAGTATACATGTTCAGAAATACAAAGTACTTACATGTCTTTGACACTGAAAGCAATACAGCCATTTATGTATAAGTCAAGATACTTTGGTAGTATTTAATATTGCACAGTGTACAATTGTCTCTCCAATTATAAAAAATATATTAACCTTTCAACATTTGTTTTATTACTCTCTGCAGGAGCGAGAATTAGCTCAGGCTGAGTTGGATGGTAAGTGTCATTGCCACAGCTCACCAGATTACAGAGTCATTATAACTGTTGACATGTTAAAAGCTCCATCTGAAGTAATATCAAAAACCTTAAACCCTCTGGAACTGCTGTAATCTCTCTGTGACCCCTGACCTTTCTTACAGAGTTGCAAGAGGCCTTCAAAGAGTTTGACTATGATCAAGATGGATACCTGAACTACAAGGATGTGGCTGAATGCATGAGGACCATGGGATACATGCCCACAGAAATGGAGCTGCTAGAGATAGTACAACAGATCAAGATGAGAAGTAGGTTGATATAAGATCCTTTAAAAATGAGCCAAAACCAGACCCTTTAATAAATATATAGAATACATGCACACAATGCCTTTAAAATATGCATCTGTCCTCTCCACAGTGGGCGGGTTAATGGATTTTGAGGACTTTACTGAACTGATGGGACCCAGGATGATGGGGGAGACTGCTCACATGCTCGGACTCAAAGAGCTCCAGTCAGCCTTTGTGCAGGTACGTCAACTGATAATTTGGGCAATTTCCTTGCCTTTTTTTCCACTCTGACACACTGAAATGTCCAAAGTAAAACCACTTGTTTGTGCAGTTTTCAACCCATTCTCATCATGACTTTTTGTTTTTAAAAGTTTGACCTCGACGGAGACGGAAAGATCAACCAGGACGAGATGAAGGAGGCAATCAAGACAATGCTGGGGGAGAAGCTGAAGAAAGGAGAACTGGAGGAGATCTTAAAGGAGCTGGACATCAACTCAGATGGAAGCATTGACTTTGAAGGTGAGAAAGTTCAGACGATAATTGCGCATCACATTTTATGCATGTGGACCAAACATCATTGGCTATTTGCTGTTAAACCAATAAACTCAGCACTGTCTTGACTTGCTCTGTTATCTCTCTCTGCTCTCCAGAGTTTGTGATGATGCTCTCCATTCGCTAGTTGCTGAGAAGACCGACCACAAGGACAAGATACACTAACACTTCTGAATCATTCCATAGATAGTTAATACTATGAATGTAATGCAGGTATAGACATCTACAACATAATGTGTGCCTAACTGTAATAACTGTATGACTTGCTAAGATATTCTGATCGATACATGAACGTTTTGCAGTGATGTTACATGTAAATAAGACTGAGATGTTTTGCTATTTTTAATAAAGAAATTAAAATGAGTTTTTAAAATGTGTCTTTCGATTAAACACCATGACAACATTATTATAATATACAATATAAAAAGTAATTAATTGACTGGTCACATTCCTCTCAAACAGACTTTATTCCAAAAACAAGTCTTTTATTACCCCCAGGTCATTGTCAAACAACAAAATGGATGTAATTATCATCTTCTAGCGAATATAAGTTAAATATAAATTAAGGTCATGTCACTTGTCAATTGTTAACAACAACAATGCAGCTTTGAGCTTTGTCACATCTACTGTCTTCAGAACTGGAGAAGCACTTGTACATCCAAAACCATGATGGTGCACGTGTGTCAGGAAAAAAAAGTCACATTTTCAGAATAAAATCCCACATCAGGCCAACATTTGATGGTGGCACTGGAACCAATCATAAAGAGAACTTATGTCCTATTTGAAGATCTAAAAGTTTAACACTACTGGTAACTTAATCTGCTTATTATTATAACATCAAACTATATGTGCACAGTTATGAAAGATCTGCAAGATGCACCACGTGTGATCTGCTGAAATTAAGCTCTTGTTATCAGACAAGAAACAGAATAAAGGAGAGATATTCAACTTGGTGTTTCACAGGAGGAGAAGAGATGTACGAGACAATGCCATCACAGGAGTCAGGAACGGGGCTTCAGGGAATACTAATTCAGATGTCTAAGGACTGTTTGCAAGAATGGGCTCTCTACTGTAAATGTAGCACCAGTACCACCACAAAAAAAATGTTGGGATAAATTAAAAATAAACATATCTCACATCAAGTATATCACTCCTCACGAAACCTTATGAACTTGTGTTTCCATGTCTTGCTTGCTCAATAAGTACAGTAGACTATGTTAGGGGGTATATGCTAAAAAGGGGTGACTGTCTGTCAACATTGCGTCTGTCCACAGTGAGTCAATGACCCATCTATTTCCTCTCCTCTTACAGGAATGTTTGCACTAACTTTTGGAAACCTTTTAATGACCTGAAATACCATCCAAAAAGCAGATTTTGTAAACAAATGCATATAAGTCTTCTGGCATGTAAGAAGAGCTAATGTGAACATTTTGTGCACTCTGTATGGTACTCACATTAGCAGGGTTGAGGGTATTCAGGCATCCCCAGGATGACACACACTAAAACTGGATGCACTCAGGTTACTGTAGTGTAAGATGCTGCTGGATTAAAGCCCATACTGAATGGTATAAGGATGTATGTTGTGTCACTTCCACAGCTTTGTGAGGCTATCATGAATAGATTCAGCAGCTTGTTACTGTGTGCTGAAGGTACGTTTTGAGTATTTGTGGCAAGTTTGGACCAACATCATGCAAGGGTGTATTGTCCAATGGTCACACTGCAGTCACTCAAAATCACATCACAACATCCTTCGATGTACAGCCCAAAACACAACAAGCAAGTGGCTACAACACCTATACCTCTTGTCTCTCTGTTAATGCCAGTCTCTACGTGCTATTAAACCTCTCTTCTTCTTGTAACTTCTTCATTTTTCAATCCTTTCTTCTGTCAGTCCCCCTACATGGTAGATAGATACAGATGGATAAGCTTCTTCTTCTATTTTGGCTATCCACAACTCACAGTGTCTTCATGGTGCGACAGGACAACTGCTAGGCTAGTAAGACTTGTTGACGATCTGCTGTTGTCTACAGCTCGTTGGTCAGCTCGTCAGCAAATTCAGCCATGATGTCATGCACCCAGATGTCCCTTTCTTCCTGTGAAGTGTCAACCAGGAAGACCGTCAACTTCCTGTCCCACGCGTTAGTGGCTTCCTGTATGGCCTCCAGCTGTGCCACGAGTGGTTTCTTCTCCACATGGTTCCTGAAAACGATCGAAGCCTCCTCCGACCACTGCCTTGGCTTCAACCCTGTAAGGGAAACAGGTGTGAAGGTTAAGGTCAACTTCACGTTAATGATGAAATATTAACATTTAATGCTACATGAAATAAACACTAGATAGGCACTTTGCTTGCTGTGTGCATAACTATTCCAATGATGTTCTCACTGACTTTACACTGTGGGTCAGTGACAATACAATTATTTTACTGCCCTATAAGAATATAACATAATATTCATAGATACTATGTTATTGTTGTTATGTGAATTTTCATTTATTGTAAACTGCTCCGAACTTTTAAGTAGGTCTACCCCTATTTTTCCTCATTTATGATTGTTTGCCCTAAAAGGGGCTCATTTAGTAGACGACTGAGAGAAACTCAATCTCCTGACAGATGAATGGGTTTTATTTTCCACTGTGTCTCTAGCACAACCATTAGCACAGAGTGTTCTTCTCTCAGGCTCTTTTCATGGCTCAAGAATTAAAAAAAAACAAGTATTTGGAGCTCTGGTCTTCTTTTTTCATTAGATAATGGTTCTTGCAGGTACTGCACTGAACCACTTCACCATAGTTAAGCACTGGCACAGAATAAAATAGCAGGGACAGGTTGCACAAAACACCATTAGTTTTCTCCTTAAAGGAGAAGTCTGGTATTTTGCACTTTGAGCCCTATTTCTGGGTTGTTGAAGATGAAATAGAGTGGTCATTATCAAAATAGTGACGACTGCTCATTTTCAGAGAATTTGGCTTTCCCCTGCCTGGTTTAACAGTGCTGCCTATGGCCATGTGTGAACCTGTCCTAAAACCACCCTTAACATTCGTTTTCAAAGCCATGAAACTCACCGAGTGGTCAGTGGTGTTCGTTAATTTTCTGACATAAAAATCATTGCAAACTGTGGTTTCCACCCGTGTTTTCGCTATTGATCTCGATTGTGGAACTACTTTTTCCACTTCACCATAGTTAAGCACTGGCACCGAATAAAATAGCAGGGATGGGTTGCACAAAACACCATTAGTTTTCTCCTTAAAGGAGAAGTCTGGTATTTTGCACTTTGAGCCCCATTTCTGGGTTGTTGAAGATGAAATGAAGAGTAGTTTCTATCCGTGTTTTCGCTATTCATCTCGATTGTGGAACTACTTTTTCAGCAGCCTCACATCCGTAAACTTTGATCGATCATTTGACCCTGAAGCGTTATACACTCCAGCCCACTTGATGGCGATAAGGCTCCTTTACATAGGTGTTGCCAACCGGCAGGAAACCATTGCAATGTAATGGGAAAACAAACGTTTAGGATGGTTTTAGGACAGGTTCACACATGGCCATAGGCAGCAGTGTTAAGCCAGGCAGGGGAAAGCCAAAATTTCCCGAAAATGAGCAGTCGTCACTATTTTGGTCTTAGCCACTCTATTTCGTCATAAACAACCCAGAAATGGGGCTCAAAGTGCAAAATACCGGACTTCTCCTTTAAGGCTTAATTTCTCCTTGGCTAAGGGACTTACACAGTTGCACAGAAGCCCTTCGACGGTTTCATTAGTTAAGGAATAACTTAACTCACCTACTGCATTGTAAGAGATATTAGAGTAGCAAAAGTTTCCATGGAGATTGTCTGTGACGCTTGTGGCGCCTGTTATCATCTCACAAAGTTGCTTATAGTTAGATAGTGAAAAAATGGCAGAGGAAAAGAACCATATTGGTCAGAGGAGGAAAAGATCATACTACTATAGGAATACAATCATGGAAAGCACATCCTACAAAGTAAATTTGATCCCCATATACCAGAAAAGTATTGTAGGAAGGAATTGCAACAAGAATGAATTTAGTCAAACTATAATAAATAAATAGTATTAATCTGTGAGATATCAAGTAACTTCTGCTGGCATGTAAATGTACAGATTTTCCTTCTGATAGTAAGGTAGAAATATAAATTAGGAGCACATGGAAATACTCAAGTAAAGTCAGAATACCTGAAAACAATACTTATGTATGTCACTTTAGTAAATGTACTTCATAACATTCTACCCCAGCCATCAGACTCTGTTGTGGTGGAGCTCTGTATGGACTCCTTTCTACTCACCAGCCAGCTGAGCAGTGATTCCCTGGAACGGCAGCTGTCTGAACTCCTTTATCAGAGGCCTGAGCTGTGTGCAGCTGACCAGCTCATGTTTACCATAGTCCAGCTCATACACAGACACCAGCCCATTGGTCAGAACTCCCTTCACTAACACACGATGCCAGCTGAGAGAACAGAAAGAGGGAGAGCAGATATATTTAGGCAAAGCACAAGCTGTGACTGAATATCAAATACAGAGAGAAATGTGGCAGAAGGCACCACAAATACTCTGTGAAAATCAGAATAACTCACCTGTTCTCCACTTTAGCAGCGTATATCTGATTCTTCTCTATATTGACTGGTTTCTCCTCAGTTTTATTATAGTAGAGAATCATCTCTCCCATCAGCACCACCAGTTTGTACATATCTCTCCAAGGCTGCAGCACAAAGTGGCCTGGATGGCACGCCACTGATACGTAGACATCTATGTTGTTTCCTGAAAACAAAAAGACCTCTGTGTGAGGATGTTTTTCTATGCTACATTAAGGTCCAAAAATATTCCCACTATCTTTTTTACCTGCTGGGGGCAGCTCCAGTAACGGTGGCAGCTGGAGAGAGGATGACGGGGCTGATGGTGTCTCTGGTGGGCTGGTAGTGGTCGTGCTGCCTCCTCCACCTCCTTTGGGTCCTGACAGAGCCCTCCTGAGATGAGGCTTGGCTGGGACAGAGGCTGACGTTGGACTCCCATTAGTGTAGTCACTGGTGCTGGGAGTCTTGGAGGATAGAGTGGCTGTAGAGATCTTGCCAGGGCTGTAAAATAAAATTAATAGACAAGACATTAGGTGTATAAGATAAAACATACGTTGTAACTGAACATTAGCCAGACAGTGAACTGATAATACAAGCAAATATAAAAGGCGCAGAGACCTGTGGCTTGTCAGGAAAACATCTGGTTGCTGTTTGAAGAGGTCAGACTGAGCCATCTGATGGTTGAGGCTGCGGGCCGGGTCGTGGAAGTTCTTGTCGGTGAAAAGGTGGACATAGATGCAACGCTTGGTTTCATCTACCTTGGCAACCTAGGGGGAAAAGTCAAGGTGGGTGTGGAGGAAAATGAGGAAGAAAAACAGAGGGGCTGAACAAATGAAGGCATAATTTGAGTGATTTCTAATACAAATCATCATCACTTCCATATCATGATGACTATCATTGAAGAGGTAAGCATACCTTCATGCTACAGTCTGTGGTGTTGAGCACTTTCTCTCGAAGCCATTGGACAGCATCTGGAGTCCAAGATCCAACACTGACAGCCAGGTCTGCCAGACAGCATTTCACAGCCTAAACACAGGTTGCTAGAAGTCATTTTCTCAGATAAAGTGAAGGACTAGAGGGCGCTGACGAGAGTACATAGCAAAAAACATGATGTTCACACTTAAAAGACAGTGATGCTGACCTGTGGGGGGATCGCCATGAGGTCACGGAGAAACGGTGGTGGGATCTCTCTCAGCTCAAACACCTCGACAGAAGCCTGAACGCCCACATCAATGAACAGGATGTCCAGCACTCTGCTGCCGTGCAGGTTGGTGATCTTAAGATAGAAACACAGACGGGGAAGCCTCATATTTTTTACAGTTGTCAACAAAAGCCTAGATGACCACTGCAGTGAACAAAATAAACAAATCAGTTTCCAAGTGGTATATGGAGGTATACACTGTTATGCAATTGCTGTTAGATTTTCTGCCAATTTCAAATTATGTCTCTCTGGCGTACCTGTTTGACAAGACTACTGTCATCAGTACATCTCACATTTAAAGGAGCCATTGTTACAAAATCTAAATCATGATACACTTGTTAGTTTTGTAAATCAATAATGTTGTTTACATAGCCAGGTAGTGAGACTTCTGCCTTTTAGAACTTATTTTACAGCAACATCTTAAAAGCACAATTCAAAAATACTTATTTCTCATTATAGCTGTAGTGGTCAGTCTAGATTGTTTTGGTGTGAGTTGCAGAGTGTTGAAGATATCGGCTGTAGAGATGTCTGCCTTCTCTCCAATATAATGGAACTAGATGGCACGCAGCTTGTGGTGCTCAAAGCATGCATGCATTTGAAAAACTCAGCAGCAATGTCTCTTTCCAGAAATCATCACCTGTTACTCAAGATAATGCACTGACCTTGTTGTGAACAGTTTCGTGTGGGAACTATTTTCTCTCCACCAAAGTACACTTGCCAACCGTATCACCATCACAGAAAGAAGCGTGCATTTACTCATGGACGAGAAGTTCGTGTTCGTGACAGTGCGAGACGTAAACTTCAATGGTGTCCACCTCGACTGAGCTTGGTGCTTTGAGCACCACAAGCTAAGTGCCATCTAGTTCCATCATGGAAAAGGCAGACATCTCTACTGCTGATAACTCCAACACACAAAACAGTCTAAACTGATAAATAGTACTACAGGTAAGAGGAAAAACTTATATTTTTGATTTGGGGATGAACTGTCCCTTTAGCAATAGAGGAGAAGGGAGTGTGTGCATGGAATAATGCCATAATTTGGATGGTAATAGACTTCGTAAAATCTTTCTTTTTGATCTCTATTCTTATGGTAACTAAACCTGCTGCTATTGTGCAATCATGACTTTATTCCTATTGTCAGGCCAACATCAATCAGATGTGGATTTATTTCACAGTCTTTGCTGTGGTGAACAGTGTAATCTTACCTCTACGCGAGACCATTTGCCTTTGTAGCGAGCCAGACATCCTTTCCCACAGAAGGGTCTGGATACCAGGAACTCTGATGTTACCTGGAACAAAAAATATGTTCCATCAAGACACCAGTATCATCAGATTATTGCAAAATCTGACAGTACTTCCTCTGGGTTGGTGAGGTTATTGAGTACGTGTAACTGCTGCTTTATAACTGCAATAAAATGATACTGTAAAAGCTCACACAAACATTTCACAGGTCCACCCAGTCTGCTGCAAATGTACACTGCAATGACATCAAAGATGAGGACTTTAGATCTGTGGTTACTTGAAATGGGAAGGGGGTGTTGTCAGTGTTTAAAGAAATTAGGATGAAGTATGAATTAGAATTATGAGTGGTTGATTTATTCCTGAAGGAGTGATGTTTCCATCTTACTCAGGTGATTGATGACACCAAAGTTACCAATAACAGCAGAGGGGGTTACCCTAACAGATAAAAAATATACATTTTGCTGGTCCCAATTATGGATTACCAAATCTGGGTATTCAATTTTCAAAGTTATTCTCTGAACTTCGTTCTGACTAGAAAAACAAAACCAGACCATCCGGTTTGTTACAGGCTGTGGAAATCATATGTATGAAGAATGTAATGAAAATGTCAAGTGTAAATATTTTATCATTTCTCTACATGCCTGATGACTTCATATATGCTCTCTGGAATTCCAAGAAGTCTCTAGCCATCATGAAACACAATACCAGACTCCACACTGTGTTTCCCGAAACACTGACGTAAAGCATTACTGAGCTGCAACTATGAGCTTTAAAGGACAGCAGTGGCACACCTAGAAAAAGCATCAGCTCCACTGTGCTGCTAACAGATTAAGTGGCTTGGCAAGATTATCAACCTTAATCTCAATCTGTCCACAACTCTGTTTGAAAGAAGCAGCACAACACAAATACATTCACAAAAGGCTTGTGTGAGTCTTAGTCTGCTCTGTTTACTTCCTGTGAATATGGCACCTGACTAAACATGCTGGAATGACATATATACATCATAATGGACACATATGTAAGCACACAACAAGGAAGGTTGATATTTTTCTCTTATCATTTCCATCCAGGAATATGCAGCACATCATGTATGTTCCATTAAGAAAAAGTAATTCTATATTGATAAAAACAAATGCAGAAATATGCTAAAAAAAATGGTGTGCCTGCTAAATTTATAAAATGGTAACATGTATAGCTATAGAAAAGAAGTCTAAGATGTGCAGAACCTAGAGAAGCAAATTAAATGGGCTGTCAAATGCTTTGAAGTCTGGAATAAGTACACAGGAGTAGTTCCAGACCAAGAGTGGGTCTTTAGGTCTTTCATGAAATTACTACATTTTGTAGGGGTGTTCCATCCTTTGTAACCCTCCTCCTACAAGAACAATGGCTCTTACAGTAAATGTCATGATCACAGTAATTCACTGCCAGGTCTCTATCTCTCTACAAATGACGTTCTCCTTCCATCCTGTGTATTGATGTATGTGTAATTATACTAATTGAAGCATAATGAATATAATGATTTAATGATGTTAAAGGTTAAGGTTGATGTTATACTATATTTTTCTTATTATTTTTCTTATATTCCATGATAAGACCAAATTCAGCAACATTCTTTCAAACTTCCCCACCATGTCTTTGGGACCACACCCATTAATTTCTACTGAAGATATACATTTTCAAAAAGCTGGTCAAAAATATGTAGCTTTATCCTTAATAAAGGAAGAGTCATTCCTTAACAGCTGGACATTGCATGCACTTTTTAAACAAGAGCAAATAGTGCATTTGTCTGGGACTATTTTCTGCAGTAGATTACTACACATAAAAAGTATTTATGTATAGTATATACAGCACCAGGACCATGAATGTGGCATAAATTAATATGCCAATGTTAACTGTAATGAGAGACCTTGTAGCCTTGTGTAACGATGTAACTCCTTGATGTGTTTTAAATGTTCTTGTCAAAATGTAAATAAAGAATAAACAATTCTACAGTTTCACTGAGACAACAAATGTAACATGGTGTTAACCTGTGAGTGGAAGTATGTCTCGATATTCTCCAGTATCTCATTCAGCTTTGCAAGGCCTCTGGAGGGCAGCTGACAGTAGATGGTCCCATCTGAGCAGACGCTTCTGACAGTCACGTTCATATAAGCGCTGTTCACCTGAGGAGAGCCAGGGATAAGAGTTTAATGTGTCACACACACACCCGCTGACCCAACTATGTACAGTACAGGCCAAAAGTTTGGACACACCTTCTCATTCAATGCGTTTTCTTTATTTTCATGACTATTTACATTGTAGATTCTCACTGAAGGCAACAAAACTATGAATGAACACATGTGGAGTTATGTACTTAACAAAAAAAGGTGAAATAACTGAAAACATGTTTTATATTCTAGTTTCTTCAAAATAGCCACCCTTTGCTCTGATTACTGCTTTGCACACTCTTGGCATTCTCTCCATGAGCTTCAAGAGGTAGTCACCTGAAATGGTTTTCCAACAGTCTTGAAGGAGTTCCCAGAGGTGTTTAGCACTTGTTGGCCCCTTTGCCTTCACTCTGCGGTCCAGCTCACCCCAAACCATCTCGATTGGGTTCAGGTCCGGTGACTGTGGAGGCCAGGTCATCTGCCGCAGCACTCCATCACTCTCCTTCTTGGTCAAATAGCCCTTACACAGCCTGGAGGTGTGTTTGGGGTCATTGTCCTGTTGAAAAATAAATGATCGTCCAACTAAACGCAAACCAGATGGGATGGCATGTCGCTGCAGGATGCTGTGGTAGCCATGCTGGTTCAGTGTGCCTTCAATTTTGAATAAATCCCCAAAAGTGTCACCAGCAAAACACCCCCACACCATCACACCTCCTCCTCCATGCTTCACAGTGGGAACCAGGCATGTGGAATCCATCCGTTCACCTTTTCTGCGTCTCACAAAGACACGGCGGTTGGAACCAAAGATCTCAAATTTGGACTCATCAGACCAAAGCACAAATTTCCACTGGTCTAATGTCCATTCCTTGTGTTTCTTGGCCCAAACAAATCTCTTCTGCTTGTTGCCTCTCCTTAGCAGTGGTTTCCTAGCAGCTATTTGACCATGAAGGCCTGATTCGCGCAGTCTCCTCTTAACAGTTGTTCTAGAGATGGGTCTGCTGCTAGAACTCTGTGTGGCATTCATCTGGTCTCTGATCTGAGCTGCTGTTAACTTGCCATTTCTGAGGCTGGTGACTCGGATGAACTTATCCGAACGTTTCGTTGTAGCACTTGATGGTTTTTGCGACTCCACTTGGGGACACATTTAAAGTTTTTGCAATTTTCCGGACTGACTGACCTTCATTTCTTAAAGTAATGATGGCCACTCGTTTTTCTTTAGTTAGCTGATTGGTTCTTGCCATAATATGAATTTTAACAGTTGTCCAATAGGGCTGTAGGCTGTGTATTAACCTGACTTCTGCACAACACAACTGATGGTCCCAACCCCATTGATAAAGCAAGAAATTCCACTAATTAACCCTGATAAGGCACACCTGTGAAGTGGAAACCATTTCAGGTGACTACATCTTGAAGCTCATGGAGAGAATGCCAAGAGTGTGCAAAGCAGTAATCAGAGCAAAGGGTGGCTATTTTGAAGAAACTAGAATATAAAACATGTTTTCAGTTATTTCACCTTTTTTTGTTAAGTACATAACTCCACGTGTTCATTCATAGTTTTGATGCCTTCAGTGAGAATCTACAATGTAAATAGTCATGAAAATAAAGAAAACGCATTGAATGAGAAGGTGTGTCCAAACTTTTGGCCTGTACTGTACATAGACAAACTCTCCTGTACCTGTAACGGGCTGGCTAGCGTCTTGTCCTGCAGGGCTTTCATGCAGGCGGCATTGATGTTGACATCATCATCCTGCGACGTGTCATACAGGACGACAAGAGGGGTCTGCCCTCTCTCTAGGATCTCAGCCAATAGGATCTTTCCACTTGCCATTGTCTCAAACTTCTTCAGCACGGCAGGCTCCTGGCAGAATGGCTCCAGGCCTGGATACACACACACACACACACACAAATAGTTAATAAATTTTAACTAGTTGGGGAAAATAGAAGGGTGAAACAAGTAGGACAAAACAAGAAAGTGTTTTTTCAGGCTCACCTGCCAGTTTACACTTGGTCGCCTGAAAAGGCAGCTGGAAAAACTTCTCATGCAGCTCAAACACTTTGGTTTTGCTGATCACCTCTGAGAAGCCATGATCCACGTAGTACACCTACAAACCAAAAGACAGGAAATACTGATACTTCCTCATGTGTCAAAAGCCCACAGTCCACTTGACAACCTTCCACATATCTTTCGCAATCATCCTCTGCTTTCCAGGAAACCTTTGATCCTCTGAGTTCAGACAGATTTCTCCATTTGTCTTGGATCCATTACTTGGCCTTCAGTAACTACTGCCCTTAGTTATTTTCTTGACTTCTCACCTTGACCTTGTCGGCCATGACCTCACAGACTTGTGCCCTCAGAATCTCCTCCTCTTCCTCTGCCCTGACAGCAACAAGTTGGCCTGAGGATGGCGATGACAGAGGGGTTGGACTGCTTTGGTTCAGGCCATAAAACTCCCTCATTTCATCCTCCATGGACTCCTGTGCCTGGGAGTAACCCTCACCAATATACCTGAAAGAGGAGAAGAGACAGACAGTGAAGGATTTATGAACTAGAGGGTCTTACAGCACATTTGCACATACACTTCTCTCCTACCTGAGTATAACTCCATTGGTGTTGGTGGCCTCCACCACTAACACAGAGGGGTACTCCTCTTTGGGGATCTGCAGAGAAGGCACTGCGTGGTTACTGAGCCTCCTCCCCAGTTCCTGCCTCACCCTCAGCTCCTCCTCACTGGCCGAGGAATTTCTCCTATTACAGTTCTCATCTTCTCCTCCTCCATCTCCACTGCTGCTCCTCCTGTACAAGATGGCCCTCTTGGGGTTGTCAGGCATCGGGTAGTCGATGGTGCAGATGTCAGAGAGGAGGTGTAGGTTCTCCAGGACATGTCCAGGCAGTTTGAACTTAAATAGATAAAATTAAATGTAATAAATCATAAAGTGTACCCAGCTCCTAAATTTGGTAATGTGACTAATATAAAAGTGTTTCAAAATGTTACTGACTTTGTAGGTGTCCTGGAAGAGCTTGGGAAGCGCGTGGGCCCACAGGCCGTTGGAGTACTTCACCAGCAGCTCCTCCAGTTTCAGCTTCAGGTCGGGGCTGAGGGTGGCGGGGGAGGAGGGAGGGCTAGGGGACGAGGAGGACGATGGAGGAGTCTGAGGAGAGCGAGAACCAGAGCGAGTCGGATGGGTGCTGGGGGGTCTCTGCTGGGCGGGGGACTGCATGGGTTTGTCTCCTGGGGTGTTTGAAGATGGGACAGGGGCAGTGGTGGAGTTTGGTTTTAGGATGGGCGGAGGGGAGGATGTGGTGGTCTGTTCCTTGGCAGGGTACAGTAGCAGCTCTGATGGGTTACTGCTGCAGGTTTTCTCCACCTAGGAGAATAAATGTAAAGGAGTTATTATGAAAGCATTTATTATTCATTATACAGACTGATATAATTGCCAGTGAGCTGCTTAACATGTACAATATATGATATCACAACCAATGCAAAGTAAATTGTACAAGACAAAAAAATAATTCTGTATATTTGATTCCATAAATAATTATTTGTGATTATTCTTTGAAAACAAAAATGCATCTTATAATAATAAAATATAACAAATAACTACAGTAACATAAGGAATGCATACAGTGCATATGTGCGTCCAGGTCTCCAGGTCTTTGATGGCCTCAGTAGGCATGTCCTGTTTGTACAGTTCTCTGTAGATCTGAGGCAGCTTCGACACCCAGAACCCGTTACTATACTTCCCCAGGATCTCCCTGATGCGACCCTGGACCTGCTGAGGGTTGTAGGGCTTTCCTTTCCCCGAGCCGAGGCTCTCGTTCAGATTCATGGGTGCTGGGGAAAAAACAGAGAGAAAGGGACATTAGGCATACACATGCTTGCAATTACGGCTTTGATCATTTTGCCCCTGGAACTTATGGGTTGCATGGCATGCTTTTCCCAAAAACAAAGGCTCTTGAGTTTTTAGAAATGGATGATTTGAACCAAAAAGAAGAATGATAATGAGAGATCTTCACAACCAAAGTCATGCTTCCTTTTGCCCCTGGTTTTGTCTTTTGATGGACTGGAACTTGTCTTTTGGTTTAAATGAGCTAGAAATGAAGACGAGGAAACAACAGAGAGACACCAACCCACTAACCTTCAGGCTACTTTTTCCTTTAATAAAACTTTAACTGTTAAAGTGGTCAAACTGTCAAAAGTCCACTGAAACATGTTGTTTGCAAGTGTCAATGTCTGGGCCTGAAAAATAAGGCCAACACCGAAGTGCCAAAAACTGCAGTTTCTGAAATGGCCACCTGCTGCTAGCTTCAAAAGCAAGTCGATCCCCCCCAGACTCCCATGTTTTCTGTACTTTACAGAATAAATAAACATGTTTACATCCTGGGAGGGGGGTTTATATAACTCAACTGTTTGCATTTTATTAAGGCTTAAAGTTGTGCATAATTAGGAGCATATCTGCTTTGAGTGAGAGGTGGATGCCACCACCACGACAACGTTTGTTTGGTAACTTAACCATGACATGACCCCAGGGTCACCGAGTATAGACTTAGCCTTAGCTGTCTTATTTCAGTGTATTTTTAGTTCATTTTAATGTTTTGGTCGGCTAAAAAAGACAGGTTGTAATTAAAGACCCTCTAAGAAGTCAGACGTTCAGAAATATATTTTGATTTTATGTTGTGAGCCTGTTCTTTGCTAGCAAAAATTAGCATGAGCATTATCACCCAGCAAACAATAGTCGTGATTTAAACGTATTGGCCATATTTAGCTCTGATTTAGTCTAGCTACATGTAACCCAAATCTAGCCGATTTAATTTTGAAATTGATTAAATGTAATTTTCGCCATTGCAGATGGCGTGCGGTATGATATTCAATCACATATGGAGAGTCAACAGTAATTAAAATATGTTTATCTCCATTTTTTGGACATGGTCTCTACATAGCCGTATAATTGATGATGTCTACACTTTGGCTATGGTTAGATGTCTACCAAATATTCACTGACAGCCCAAATTCAGCCGTGATTTAGCCTAGACGTCAGGTGTTCATGTAGACGGCTATTAGACGTTTTTTAAACCAAAAAATGCTTGCTGGGCACAGTTGACCATAGCCATAAACACACTGTGCTAATCAAGCCAGAAGCTAGCATCAGTGTTAGCTCCACCCTCTTGTCCATGTATGGTCACTTCTGGCTCCAAAAAGGAGGTCAGAGGTCTCAATAAACATCATTTCCTCCTCACTCAGGGATGTCTCTTAACATACAGGAAGCACAGGCTCTTAAACCAGTCAGAATCAAACATTAACAGTCTCTTCTGACTGTAGGGGCCTCAAATAAACATCTGAAATTGCTTGAGTTTTCAACACACGTTCCTCAAAGCTACACAGTTTATTACATTCTAGTGCATTTCCCCAGGCTATACCCATGGTATCCCCTCTTCAAACAGGCAACATGGCAACAACACATTCTTAGTAAAGGAGGTGCAGAGGAGGGAGGCTGACACAGAGAACACAGCCCCTGGACAGTTGATTTACTTGAATGTTCTTTAAAAAAACTCATTAGGAACCTCAGAGAGCCCACTGAGATAGGGTTGCTGTTTGTTTGCTTGACACATCACGAAACTGTGAAGGTCTGTAAGAGACGTGATTTGATATTTTAGCACAAGACAACACAGCATGACACTGGAAAATGGATTTTTGCTTTGTTGAATCCTAAATGTCCTCCGGTAATGGTTAGAGCAGCTGGCCAGCATTTGAAATGCCCGAAGCTATGTACAGGTCTGGGCTACATTTCTATTCATTTAGAGGACAAAAACCTACACAAAATGTATTTTTAGCGTAATAACAAGCAGCCTGTCCTACTTACGACCGGTCTGTTGGGAGTTTCTGGAAAGGTGAGCATGCACCTCCTTCTGAAACCGTGATGGGAGGGTCATCCTCTTGTCTGACCTGGACACAAGAGAAAAGAACAAGGAGGAGCATTACTTTCTATGGGCTCCATGAGAGAGGACAATTGTGAAAAAGACTGATTGGAAATGACCTTTTTTTTTTCTCTTCTTTGAACCTTCAAAAGCTAAAATATTTTCCATTCATATTGTTTGTGAGTAGTTTAAAAAAAATCACTTCTGACTTCAGTTTTGAGGCTTGGCTAGGCATGACTCTGTGCTGCGTGTCTGTTCTTTAATCTCCCATTGGGCAAAGCACATTCTGAGATGTGAGGACTCTAGTAACATCTCAAAGTCTAACCAGATAACCTGATTAAGTTAAGTGCAAAACAGAGTCTTTTTCTGGTTTGTCCTCAGTAACAGGACCTATTAATCAAACTGTCTTCATCCCCCACAAGTGTAGAACAATGGGTTGTGACATACAGCACACTGGATACTGCATTGCACTGTAGATGCTACTCCTCAGACGCAGTCAGCAACAAACTGAGAATGCATTAAAAGACTTCTACACTGTATAAAATACATCATTCTCTTTTTGTACACATTGCTGAACTTTATCGTGTAGGTCAATCTTTTCTTTCTCTCCACCCCTCCAATATCTTCTTCATCCAATCCTTATCATGCCTGCTGTACAGTAACTGCTTTGTTTAAACATTCCTCCTAAGTCTCCTGACTCAGCCTGTCTATCCCCTTCTTGTCTCTCTCTTCTGTCACAACTCCTGACTCACCCTGGTACATAGCTAATAATGGAAGCAAGAAATCAATAAACAGAGCAGAGCTATTTACTTTGTGACCCTAAATGGCTGTGAGAGGATTTGAAGGACTTTAGTACCTCATACATAGATCCCAGAACATAAAATCAGCAATCAGCGCACTCCATTGACCTAAATTAGTTTTTCTTTGTGGCTGGTGAAGGTAGTGAAAAAAAATGAGAGCAAGGATCAGTCATCACTGGTGATTCTCTGGAATGAACACAAAAGCACTGCCGCTTTAAGAGACACACATTAGTTTACTTAAAGTTAAGGCTTCAGTTAATCACTCTCTGAAGGAAAGCCAATAACCAAATTGGCTTCATAATGTTATTTTTGTCCAGTAGAATAAATGTTGAGGTGTCGACCGGTAGCAGTGGGGAGGAATTTCTCTATTGGAGGCCAATTTCCATACCAACACTGCAACTTTTACAAGTACAAACGAGTTGCAAAGCAATGATATTTAAGTTGGCACAAGCAGTGCCTGTCAGTTAAAGTTATTCTAAGTGGTTAAATCAAAATGGTCATTAATTTTGGTAGTCTAAGTCCTTACTGGCAGAATAACAAGGACAATTCTCCTCTGGTCTTCAGCCAAGAGACATTGACGAAGAAGTCGTCTTTAAACCATATCTACTGTGCATTTCCATGACAACGGGGCAAACTACATCTGCAGGGGAAGATCGTGTGATACGATCGAACCCCCCTTAACAGCTGCTGAGTTGACTTTGTGGTGATGTTGTTTCTAGTCCAAGTTGAAGATTGTGGTTGAAGTGTTTTCTGGAGCCTACTACACTGTACTTTAATTTTGATTATGCTTCAATAATTGTACATTTATTGACAAATGAACCTGTTGCTTGAACTTGAATGTCAGGATTTCAAGAGTCAACTAAGAGCTACCCAGCCTGTTGCACAACCTCATCATCATATTTTCTCTCCCCAGACAGAGTCAGCATTTTCTTCTGCATACACAAAACTCTCCTATCCAGGCACAGACTGGCCTCCTAGACTAATTTCTCCTGTGTTTCTATTTACATAAAATAATCAAAAATTGTATCATGTTGTTTTTTTAATTTGTTTGTTTGCTGAATCTACCTCTAGTACTGCCAGGCATCCCATAGTATACCTGCAGGCACACACACACACACACACACTCACACACAAATGATGATGACGCTGGCCTGCCAGCGCACTGTCCAATGGAAGATCTAGAGGAATACAGAGAGATGTGCTGATTCACTCTGTGTCGGTTTAGAAGCGTTAATCTACCAGAGAATAGAGCGGGGATTAGAAAGGGCTCACGTTCCCCCTGCTCTGGGCTCGTGTCCCCTGCCAACACATCAGGCTTCCCACCCTGCCGCCCCATTGTGCTGCGGAGGGCCAGCGGCACACTGGACACCCGTGGTGACACTAACAGAGGACTGATGTCAGTTGTTTTCACAGAGCCGGACGAACAGAGCCATGGATGGATGGAAGTGAGAGAGCCAGTCAATGAGCTGGATTAATCTTGGTTCACTGTTTAAGCAATGCAGATAGATAATATCTCGCAATGCTTCTAGATGACTTCTTCAGTAACAACAAACCATGTTTTTAAGTCAATTCAGGTCACATTAAATGACAGTAGATCTCTGAGGCCAAAGTCTAAATAAGTAAGTTGAAATAAGTATTGTTTTAAAAGGGAAAAACAGATTTGGGCCAATTACCAGAAAAGGGGGATCAAAATATAACAAACAATTTACAACTAAATCCACAGAGAGTGTAAGAAAGAGAAGGGAAAATGATTGGGAGCAAAGTGAATAATTAAAATGAGGCAAACATCTAGTTGAGCAGGCAAAGAGAAAGGGGGGAAAAGGAAAAGTGATGGGAGGAAAGATACAGACAGAGTCAGACAGAGAGAGAAGCAGAATAATCTAGAGAGCACATCATCAGCCCAGTGCTGAATAAGCAGCAGCAGGGAGGCAGTTTGCACTCAGAAACCAACCAGAGTTCAACCAGCCCCCATTCACCAGCAGCCTATTCTGATTCAGCTCAGACCACACAGGTGGGAGGAGAGGAGGGGGGGGCAGACAGGGAGAAAGAGAAGGGGAGAGAAAGAAAGAAAGAATGGGGGACATGTAAGATTGATTTTCATTGCATTTTGGCTGTATTTTGGACTGGATGGTGGAGAGTGACAAAAAACGATAAGAAAGTGATTAAACGTGTAATTCATCACTAAAATATTTTAGAAATATTAAAGAAATGTATTTCTATCATCTTAGCCAGTTCAAAGAATTTTGAAAGCATGTAGCACTGCAGAGTGAATCCACAGGAAATGGTCTGGCATGAGATCTAGCTTCTCTGCGCACATTGGTCATTTGCACATTCCTTTACTTGGATTCCCCAAGCAGTATGGAAGCCAGGTTGGTGACTTCCACATGTAATTGTGCTATAAAATCCCACAAATATGTGGAGAGATGTGAGCTAAAGTTGTCTTTCCATACTAAAGACCTGCAACAAATCAGATCTTAAATGCAACATTCATATTTTGTTGTAGACTTGTCCCAAACAACATAAAACATTCAAATTAAGTGAACTATCAGTGTCCAACTGATCACATGTAATTATTCCTAACATTTCCCTTGACTCACTTCTCTGCAGGTGTGTTTCCTTTCCTGCTGGGTGTGTTCTGATTGGACATCTTGTTCGGATGCGCCCCAGTCTTGCCCTCAGACTGGCCATCCCTCATGTCCCTTGCCTGTCTAAAGTCTCCATGTCCCGCCCCTCGGCTGCCGCCTCCTCCTCTGCCCCCGCCTCTGCTGCGGTGGTTGGGCTGCCTCAGAGAGGTTTGAGGTTTGGCTGTGCAGAGAAAGAGAAAGCAAACAGGAGAAGTAAAACTATTGACCACACACACACACACACACGCCCTGACTCAGCTTAACTTGATGCTGAGACAGGGCACCGTGTCTGTCTGGAGGGCACAGTGTCACAGATAGTTCAATAACACAGTGGGTCTGATGAGTAACATCATAGCCAGAAAGCAGTGACAACACAATATCACAAATGTAAAATGACATCTTTTCAAGAAGTTGAGAAAACTCTCCCATGGCTTCATTCTTGGATTTGTCTGTTAAATTCATTGGATTGTGTAATAAACGGGTGGGGAAGATCAAAGAAACACGCCTATTTGCTTTGAACGTTAGATGACAAAATCAATACCACTCCCATGTCACTGTATTATCCATGGAGCTAGAACAGGGGGTTGATTAGCTTTGCTTAGCTTAGCATAAAAACAGAACACACAGGGAAAACATGTCATCTACCAGCACCCCTAAAGCTCAGTGATCAACTCGCTGGGGAAGAGAGGGAAAACCAGCAAACGCTTCAGGAAGAAGTTAGCTTCTGCACGTTATTCCCTGTAAAACTACAACATGTCATGTTTGCAATATTGTTTGTTTTCAGATTAAGCAAACAAGATTAAACATGTTGATTACTGACCTGTAGAAGTGCTGGTATGCATATATTTTAATTCTGGAGACAGCCAGGCTCTTGTTTGTTTCCAGTCTTTATGACAAATATAGGATTTAAGCCTATGCACAGTACCATTTAGGTAACGTCTCTGGTTTTCAATGACATTGCACTAGCTCTGGATAACAAAATGCCTCATGCTGCTCTGTTTTACAGACTTGTCTAAGGCATTCAATACTGTTGACCATTTATTACATTTAAGAAAAAATTCTCGTATTAGTTTTGATTCTGTCAGTTGCCTATATGGTTTAAAAACCACCTGCCTAATTGATTACGCTGTAAAAATGGGTGATGTCCATTCTGATTTTATACATACTAATAAAGGTGTTCCACAGGGTTCAGTGTTAGGTCCAATGCTGTTCCTAATTTACATAAATGATATGTCTTTGTTACTGCTCAGCATCATTTAAAATTAAGGTCTACATCAAATGATTCCCTGAGTCTTAAATAAAGGTTTGATGATGACGTTGATGAAATCAAGATAACTAACGTTTGCTCAGCTGTAGTTGCTCAGTAGACATACAGACTTGAGTGGTATTGATCTTCTCATCAAACTCTCTACAGGGAGGCCAATAAGTGTATTTGCAAAAATTATTGAAAAAAAAAAAAAAATCTTACTTAGAAATGCTAAAACACTTAAAAATACCTATTAGCAACCTTCTAAATGGGCCCTAATTCTATTATGTGTTACAATGATTGCAATCAATAGTTGGAGGGAATGGAATTCAGGAGCCTGTGGTTGCACTAGCAACATTTAAGGTGAATTAAAGTATGTGTGTAAATATGAAGTGGGTTTCTGCTGGAAAAGAGCATACTATATAATATACCATACCAATAGTGCTGTAAACTTACACTCTGAATAAATAAAAATTATGTTGTTTTGAAAACTTTTTCAATGCTTGTTGAATGATTGATTTTTGTTAACAATTCTCTCCTCAGTTTAAGGCTGGTGACATCACTACTAGCAGAGAAAAGTCCATTTAACACTGAGCAGCAGGATTATTTTAGCATGACTAAAAAACCCAGTCACTGTAATCTGTGATAGTCACTGTATGTCCGGTAAAAATGCCCCAAAGTCAGAGTGCAATGATCCTAACTCACCCCCTCATCACCTCACTGTTACATCATTCAAGCACAGCATGACCAGCATGACATCACATTCCTACTAACTGACATCACCAGTACATCCTGTTGAGCATAACCCTTAGTCATTTCCACTCCCACACTCCTCTCTCCTTTTCAGGTCTCCCTCCTACTGTCTCTTCTTTTATCTTCACTTGTTTCTTCATTCCTCTTTTTTCCTCAGCGACATCTAGAACTTTCTCCTGCTTTCTCATGCTCATTGTTCCTGCTGAATCTCATTAAATCTTTCCAGTGACAAAACACAACAAGCAGCTTCATCAGCCCACGTCTTCAAAAGTCACCAATAGGCAATTTCAATGTCTAAATCTAATTCTTTTCTGTCTGAGTGGATGTGCTGTTTATACTCTATGAGCTATTGGCAGTTAATCAATTAATCAATCAGCCAATTAATGAATCAATATAACTTCCAGACGCATACACATTACAGGAACTCAGCGGTCGCACGCGCAGGCAGGTGCAAGCTTAAATCCACATGCAAATATAGGCAAGGACAAGCATACACACTCAGAGCAGACGCCGCGTCACCTCACCAGCATGGACACACAGTCCCTGGTCTGTCTCTGCCTGAATATCAATATCCTGGTGAGGTGGTGGAGGAGAGAATGAGAGAGAGATGAAGAGGTTGAGTCAGCTGCTCTTCGCTTGCAGCTGAATCTCAGCCGCTATAGGCTGCATTAGCCTCAAATCTCAACACCCCACCCCACTCTCTCCCTCTCTCTGACTCCCTCCTTCCCTGTCATGTGTCCACCCCCTCCCTCTTTCCCACTTCACCATCCCTTTGCTTGTCTTTTCCTCCGACACTCTCTCTCTCTCTCTCTCTCTCTCTGCCTCCTCTCTCCTCTTCTCCCTCTCCTCCCTGCACTACCACCTCCCACTTCCTCCTCTGACTCTCTGAGTATGGTCTGCGGCATCACAGTGTAGCGGAGGTGTATGCGCTAAAAAGGAATCTGTGTACATGTGTCTGTATGTGTGTGTGTGTGTGTGTGTGTGTGTGTGTGCATGTGTTTGTGAGATTGCATGTCTGCATATTTGCAGGTCCAGTAGTTTTTACGAGTCTGTTCATAGAGCAAATAAAGTCTGCAAAAGATGAAAAAAGGTTCAGAGTTATGTGTGGATATACAGTAATACTGCATGTGAGCTCTCTGTGCATATATAAACCTGAGACACCTGTGCAGCTCTAAACATTGTGTGTCTGCTTTAGTGTGATATTCTTAGTTCCGACGGAGATGCAGGTCTCCACAGAGCAACAGTTAAAACAGGCCAGTCATTCATCAACAAACCGTCTGGTTGCAGCACAAAAAGCATTTGCTAATGTTGCATTGTCACAGTACTGATACAGACACTGGATACTTTCTAGTTTTCTCTTACTGCAGCACTGCTGCACTGTAGCACCAGCCCAAAGAGGAGTCTGGAAAAGGTTTACAAATATTCAAGAAACTAAGTGGTTGTTATGGATTGAGAGGAGCTAAATAGATATTTCCAGGCTGCAGCTTACTGGGACTGAATTAGTTTTATTAGTCTAATATTTTAATGTATAAACATGTGGTAAGTTAAGGCCCAAACAAAACTGCTCTGTCATAATCAATATGCAGACAAGAGTATTTTAAACTGCAAAGATACATAGTTAGTGGCCCACCTGTGAAATCCAGACCTATGGTCATTTAGTATATAGAGTATGTACATTAAATAACCTACACGTACATATCATTTTGTGATTTTATTCATGGCAGTGTGGAGAAGGCTTTGAAAGCGAATTTAGCATGTTAGAAAATAAAATGTAAGGATAATAGTAGAAATTAAATTAGAGACTATGAGACTATTTTGTGTTCTGGCATTTTTTTTTCTTGGGAAAGGGGGCTGTAGACTAATGGCCTCAGTATTTCTTAAGCCCTGGCTATGGCGCTGACTGGGACTGCTAATAGCCAGTGGAAATAAGCACTCACAACATGTAGTCAACAAGTTCCAATGTCCTCTCATGGTTTCTGCATTTCTGAATCACTACAGCAACTTTCTAACCTACTCAAACTAGTTGGCAAAAGATGGCAATCCAAACATTTTGAATAGAAGCAAAAATAGTGACTGAAAATTACTGGTTAAGATTTCATCATAATTTCATAACTTTAAAAAATATATTTTTCTATATTTACAATAACAGGACAAAGGGGAAGTCGCTAGGCATTTTGTGTCACACCACATGTACTTTATATCAGTGCTGATATTAATCCAGAGTTCTCTTTGCTATGCTGTCAAACATGTTTTGAATGGTGCAGCCACACTCATTCACATTTGGAGAACATTCAAGTCCTGTATAAACATGTATTGTTCTATTCCAGTGTGGATACACACAATGGTCCAACACACACAAGACACCCAACACCAGTTTGTCTTGCAGAGCAGCTAAAGTGCTACAGTGCTAACCACTGAGCTGCAGAGCTGCCAGACCATTTGTGACTCTATCCTTGCACGTCGATATTTATTTGCACTTCTTAAATCAAAAATACGAATTACTGATTGAGTCTACTTCTGCTGTGGACATTTGAAAATCAAAAGTAAAACTACAAGCTTTCAAAGATGAGGCATTTTTAATCATCTTAAATTAGCTTTAAGACACACACTATACAGCAGATGTTACATGTATACTCCTTACATTTTAGCAGTAATTATAATGACATTTAATCAATACCTAACTGATTTAAGGCCATCTTGTGATTTGGGAAACATCTGTGTAATTGGATAGAGCTAAATGTGTGTTCTCAAGAAAGAGGCTGACAAAAGGGGAAAGCCTATAAGATTACAGGTGGTATGTGCAGTGAAACTGGATAATAGTTTGTTGAATACTGTAATGGTAATGCTGTTAGATCCTAAACTATTGCCTTGCCAATTTGGTTTCTCCCTATATCACTGAATATATTTGCTTGCTGTCTCTCATAAAGAAACTGTGAGATCCAATGTGCACAAAGGCAACCATGTGATGTTTTTCAAACCCTCCACAAACCGATTTAAATTAGACTTCATACCTTTGATTAAAATAGTTGAGTGACCAGCCCAAAGCTTTGCATGCAAAAGAATGTTTGAATGAAGTTCCATGTAATAGATAACATATACACTTATCGAACTGACAGTTATTTTTAAGATCAGCAAGAGAAAATGGCTGTGTAGTTGTGTTGATGTTTGCAAGTGCCCCAAAATGGCGGTCTAAAATCTTACCATTGAGGACAAGTGGGGCAGCCGGTTTGACCCTCATCTGAGTGTTAACCAGGTGGGGTCGGCCTGTCTTCTTGGAGCTGCGCTGACGAGCCACCACTTTAGCTAAATGGGCCGTCTCATTGGCTCCTGAGGCAAAACACACCGTCTGTAGAGAGAGAGGAGGAGACAGAGAGATATTAATAAGAGATTCAAAACAAGGCTGAGCAAGTTATTACCCACTATTAACACCCAGGTGTGCATCTTATCCTCATTATGCACACGTACTTTGGATACAGTGGGGTATGGGCTGCTCTTACACAAATATTTTAGCCACAGACTGCCAACATCCCACAGAGAAGATAATGTGAGCATCTAAAGGGAAGTCACTGTAGAGGAATTAGATTATAGTAGCTCTTACAATAACAACCCACTGAGAACTGACTTGCTGTCATCAGCCTTTGAAATTAATCTGAGACTGAATCATTTTAGGCTATATGAGATTGTTTTTCCCCCTAAATACTAGACTAGATAGATATAGATATGTAATAGCATGAGGAAAATAAATCCTACATATCTACCCTGCACACAAACCATACTACAACAGCCACACACACACTCACAAACCTCTCCAGAGCGGCTGCGCTCCGTGCGGACTACAGAGGGCATGCTGACAAGCAGTGCATCCAGGTGGTTGTGTCCCATCTGTTTGTACGGTATCTGCTCCCCGGTCAGCTCTTTGTACTCCGACTGCAGACGGGACAGTGACACTCCGCCTTTGTTGGCCTGGAGGACGGCCCGCAGCATCTTCTTCACCAGCTCCACGTCAGCCATCTGAAAAATAAAAAAAATAAATGAACAAATAGAGAAGACCTATGCAGAAATAGTTGAAGGGTGTAAATGGAGATGGTTCTACATCTGCCATCTGAAAGGAATTCAGTGGGACCAATCCATAGGACTACAGTTATGACAAACTCATTTTTGGTTTTCCCTGAGCCATTTAAGGCAGGATGTTAGTCTGAGAGTGACTGCTGCTGATGATGATGCAAGCCCATTCAAAATTGCAATAGTCTGCACATAGTCAGTTAATTCCATGGACCAATGGCTGACTTGTTAGGCCAGTTTTTATTAATTGGTGATGAAATGTCCAAAGCAAATAGTGTATTTCAGTCAGGAAAAAACCCTGTTACAGTCTGATTAAGTGGATTACAAATGTTAGTTTAAAATTTTTTAATGAAGATTGTTTTCATACTATCAAATGGGTATTTTTTAGTCATAGTATATGACCAAAAAAGCATCTACCCCATCTACTTTTCTAATGGGGAAGGCAGTCTAATTTCCAATTACCATTCCACTGTTCTGTCTAATAAGCAATTACTAAATGATGATTTAACTTATTCTGAGATAACATGTCTTTTAAAGCCACACACCATTACTGTAGCCCCATAGAGACATTTTGGTAAAGGACTTTAGGTTCAAGATGTTATTAATTTCCCCTGGTGTGCAGCCTCTTACATTCCATCTCCCTGCAGAAAAACACAGTCCACTGTCAGCTGTCTGCAGCCAGACAAAACAGCCCTAAACAGGAATTTACAAAATTCTTCAAAGTTCAAACCTGAGCCTTTGTGATCTTTGTGAAAAGTGTAAATACGACTACATCTCTGCACTTAAACAAGTATTCAGTTTGATAGAGAATTCCGGACGCTCGCGGATGTGGAGACACACCCTCAACAAAAGGCAGCTTTAACTTTCAGCAGAGAGGTCTGTCCAGCAACACTGTATTTTTTAACGAGTGTCCATCCTATAATCGCCCTCTAAAATTGCGACATTTTTAAAATTTCATGGATAATGTCTGGTATTTCTGGTGTGCTCAGCTGACACGCAGGAATGCACGCACCGCAGGAAGAGTCATCAATTTTGCATGCCGTATTTGTATTATTTTTGGAAAGACGCCCTTAAATGTAATAGCACTGTATCTTCTTTCTGGACTTCTGTCTTAAGTGTAAGCCTTCGACTGAAGAGTTCAGAAATATATTCCACCCCGGGCTTAGATAATACCATGATAAAGAAAGGGGTGAAAAAAGAAGCACTGTAAACAAGTGTGATGAACTTGTCAGATTTAACCTTCTCGTCATAGAGAAAATGTTTCGGCACAAGATGAGTTTCGGCCACTTGTTGATGATGGCCACTTTCTGCAGCGCAGGCAGCAGACGGGACAGAGAAACTATGAATGACGTAACTCGTCACACTTCGACTCCACACCCTCATCGAGACCAAACTATTTTGAATAAGTTTTCCTTTCTCTTTTCGATTTCTACACAAAACTCTACTTAAATAGTCATGATAGGGTGAAAGACGCCAATAGAATGCACCAGACCCTGTATGCGCTTAGCTCAGGCACCCATAATGCGCGTAATATCGAGTTAAATCCTCCTGCCACCTCCGGCGGATCGACAAGTTAGCTAAAAAAAGACCGGAAGCGCACAGATGTTGCCTTCATAATAAAACTACCGAACATCGTATCCCCTCACACGTGAATCGCGCCTGCTACTATTTTGAAAGCCACTATCGGAAGTACACGTTTGTGTCCTAGCTAGCTTGCTAGCTTTAGAGCCATCCCAGCCGGGAATATCGAAAGAGGCAAAACAAACACCCGACAAAACTTTGCCACGACTGAGTGTTATAAAAGTCCGTGTAAGTGAAAGTAAGAGCTACAAAAATCATTCTACCTTGCTCTAAACAGACGGGATGGTGAAGGCAGGACCTGGTCCAGTCGCTGTCAGTGCTGTCACCGCCACGGGGCTGAGCTGCGGCCGAAGCACTGTCCTCGGGGTGTCTGCCAGCCGGTCCAGGCACAGCCTCTCCTCCGCCACCTGATTGGTCGGCTGTGCATGGGCTTCTGGCTAATTACATGTCAATATATTCATCCGAGGACACATCTCCTGTCCTATCCAGCCCTGACGAGCAGCAGCAAGTCACAAATCCTCACATTTGAGAAGCTGGGAGTCAGCGTTCAGCTTTTTTGTTTGAGAAAAATGATAACAGATTATCGAAGAAGTTGGCAATACATTTTGTCAACCAACCAAAAAAAAATTCTAATACATGTTTTATTTTTGATTTGTTTGTTTATTGTTTCATACTTGACAAAAAATGAAAACGTATTATGAATTTATTCAGCCCATTTATTTGTTTATTTATTTCCCATTATTATTCCATTATATTAGTTTAACTCACTTTTCCAAATAATGCATAAGCAATATTGATTAAGCATCATATTGTGTTACTTTTACCCTTGCCTCTCATCAGCTGTCTTGCTTTAAACACCGCTTTTGCCCATATTTGACTTAAAATTTCAAACCAACAACTATTGGATTGCTTAGGGTGTGTCATCCTCTATTGAGTACTTTTTTACATAATTGTGCATAAAGTTGTGAAAGCTTAAACAGCTCAAGACTATTTCTTTCATCGCTTTCCAGTCCCTTTTTTGTTTACCTGTACATTTATTTTAAATGGATAGTTGTGACAATCATGACAGTTTATGGCCAAAAAGGAAACATCCAAACTTAGGTCCTGAGGAGGTAGAAGATGGCAATGTACTAAGAATACCTTGTAAAGTAAGAGTAAAAGGATAAAAGCAAGAGAGGCCACACCATCCCAGATGTGAAGTGGGCCCCTATAGAAGACCAAAAAAAAAAAAAAAAAAAGGAATAAATAAAAATAAATACAAAGAAATAAATGTATGAAAAGTGCAGGACTAAATAAATAAATATGGAAATAAAAAAAGTAATAATATATACAGGAATAAATATATAAATAAATACAACAAATAATAAATAATATATAAATTAAAGATGATATAAATAAATATCTTTAATTTATTTTTTGATTTTTGTACAACTACCTCCATTTCTTTATGTGTGTCTGTGTCTGTATGTTGGTAAGGTAGGAGGTACTAACCTCTGCATCTCTTTATTTACGCATTTATTCATGTACGTATTTATTCATTTATTTATTTATTCCTCTATTTATTTATTGATACTTGGATCATTTTTCAGCTCAGTGGGCTCGGTGGGGGAGTAACATTAAGTTTTTAATAAGGAGTGGGTGCAGCCACTAGGGGCGCTAACTTCCACTGTGCTTCTCAGCTTAGGTCTGTCAGGCCGCCGGAAGTGACCTGTCAAAAAACGGAAAAGACTACCGGATTTCTAAGCTAGTTAGCCACAAAATAACAACAGGGGATCATTGTTTATCTGCATGAACACCTCAAAGAGTTACATTTAAAGACAGGAATCTCTGTGTATGCCAGGTAAGCTTAATTGCAAAATACAGGTATTCTGTGTAAGCTTCTTAACAGTATTTGTCTTTCTGATTTTAGCTTGCTTGCTAAACTGAGTTGGCCAGTTTTAACGTTGGCTAAAGCCAAACTAGTTAGCACAAAACTCAATTCTGACGTATAGCTAAACCTAAATGACAAAGTAAAGCGTAAGTGATGCCAGTATACAGTTATTTAGTATATGGCTGTTAGTATTAATCTGAACGTAACGCAAGCTAACAGTGCAACAACATTAAAGCAGAATAGCTTGATTGCCTTTTAGGACATTTCTCTCTACTGCACTTTGTCCACCCTCTTCCTGTCGTAAAGCAGCTGTTTTGTTGCTTTGTGTATTTATTTGCAAGTGTGGCAACGTTATACTCATCTCATGTACTATTTTCTTTTTGACATAATAAAAACAAATGATTAAATTAACCTAGCATCCTCTAAATAACAGTAACGATACCAAGCGAAGACATGTTAGCTAAAGTTAGCCCCTGTTTGTCAGTTGGCAACTGATTGAATAATTACAAGAGGATTTGTTAACATGTTAGTTTGTTACAGATGACGTTATAAAACATATGAAATACGAGAATATAATGTATACCAGAAATCTCAACTGAGTGTTATGTAATTGGCTATAGCTATAGAAATGTAAAACTGTAAATTGCTTTTGAAGTGACTCCATTGATATTTGAAGCTAACATCCATGTGTTTGTCCTATGGGAAGACACAACAGCTAGATGCTACCCTCCCTTTCTCAGTTTAAATCAGATGTGACGTGCTGTGATGCACCACCCATGATCCCTCCCTCAAATCACAGTCTTGAATTGTCCTCTCCTCTCTCTCTGGAAGAGGAAGGCATGTGAAAACAGAGAAAAATTAGCACTTGAGCCTTATCTTTGTACTGGAGGAGAAACCATCTTAACTTGTTATTATGGCTATGAACAGGCGACATTCGTATACCCCCCGGGTGAGTAACATGGACACTCGATAGTGAATAATCTAATTAAGTACATCAGCTGTACTTTAGATTGATGCATTTAATCAGTAGAAGTCATTACATTATAATGGCTAAACTTGTAAAAGTTAATTTTGGGCACTCACCATACATTGGATGCAGGATTCACTTCGTAGCATTTTGAGTCCTAATCGGTTAAAACAAGCAGGAATATAATTTGAGTAACTCTAGATATCCTGAAGGGAAGATGAAGTTTCTGTCCTTATGTTTGACCCGCAGGCAAGCTATGTTCCCATTAATCCTAAATAAATGTAGAGGAGTCTGCATCCTTCTCTTTGCTTCTCTCATAAGCATTTGATAACCCTGGTCTATCCAGTTTTCTGCCCTGTGGTTTAAAACTGCAAGGCAGCGTGAATTCATGTGTCTCCACAGCTCCATAAAAGGATTAGACTCTACTGCTGTCCTATTTTGTCTTGAATGAGCATCTTTGTGTGAGCAAGGCAGAGATGTGACTTGAGGAAGTTTGGTGTGGTCCAGGACATATGACTGGGTGCATGAGTATGTTGCTGTGCTTTATGGCCTTAGGACTATGTCCTTGGATATTTTTAAGTACTAAGACTACTCTTAGTAGCTAGAGCAGGGAGAATTATGGGTTGTTATTGTTGCACATTAAAAAATACATTTGTTCAGGTCACTTGCACATCTGGTGGACAGTATTAAAAAATTTAAATAATTTAAAATAATTTGCCATGCATACTCCATAGTAAGCTATGTCTATTTGAGCAAAATTCAGATATAAAAGCTTCCATATTTGAAGACGTAAGAAATTTTAACAATAAATTCTTTGGTTTGTAATGACCTCACCTTCCCTCTTCCTTATCTGTCTACTTCTTTCACCTAATCCCTCATTTCCATTCCATATTTCCCCCCATCTGTATGTCCCAAATCCTCCAGCTGACCAGCCCACTGATCACCAAAATGAGCAGTGCAGGAACGGTGGAGAGTGGTAAACCTCCAAAGGTCAGTCACTTTCCAATACAGATACAAGGAAGTAGAAAATAAATGTAAATAAACAAAATACTATAAACAAATATGTAATGACTCACAGTCTGCCATCTTCTTATCTCTGCATCTCCTCCACTAGATTGGCTCTATTGTTGAGGTGACAGGGAAGGGTCAGCGTGGTACTGTTGCCTATATTGGCGCCACCCTCTTTGCTTCTGGGAAATGGGTTGGTGTTATACTGGATGAGGCCAAAGGCAAGAATGATGGCACCGTGCAAGGGAAACGCTACTTCACCTGTGAGGAAAATCACGGGATATTTGTCAGACAGTCCCAGGTTGGTGGTATAAATGTGTTGAGATGCAAGAAAGAATGCCTGTATACTTTCATTAGTATGAAAAGTGTGAATAGTTTAATAGGATATGTTTGAGGATCCTTTCTTTTTTTCCAGAATGTACGATTACAAATGATGTTTGTTCCTGCTCCAACCCTTGTTTTTTATGTCCATGTTGTCCCGTGTTTCTCTGTGACTCTGTACAGATCCAGGTGGTGGAAGATGGCTCCAGTGCCACCTCACCAGATACTCCTGAATCAGGCACTGCAAAGATACCAAGACAAAAAGGTGAGTGTGAACTGTGTTTGAAATTCATACTTTTAAAACTCAGTATCTCAAACTTAATAATAATATTATCGGTAGATAATAATTCTTATTTTGTTTCCTCCAGACATTCCTGAGACTCCCAGAACAACCAAGCAGGTAAGCAACCTTTACCTGTACCTCACAGCTTTTTTCATTCTTTGTCACTTTAGTAATCTTGTGTGGTTTCCATGACTTGGCTTCAAAGATTGTTGGGTTTTGTGGATCTTTGTGTATGCACTGTGGATTTAAAAAATATTGCTTGTCCAAATATTCAATCTTTTTCAATTCCTGCCCTTTTCAGAGCACTCATGTTGGTTTGAATGTGTTGAACAAGACAAGTCAGACAGGACTTGTCCTTTGCAGTGTTTTCCTCTCTTTTCTGTACATTGTGAATGGGTTCCAGCCTTTGGGTCTCATTTTTGTTTTTCTGAATACCTTTTGCAGAAACCTGTGAACGTTAAGAAGGTAGAAACTTTTAAATCCAGCACATTTGCTTTTGCTTTGGTTGTTTTTAATCACACTAACGTGGCAACTCATCTTTTGTGTTTATTTCTCCCTTTGACGTGTTGACGTTTGCACGGGACATAAAGACATCTCATCTGTTGACATGATTTTCATTGTATTTTCTCTCGGTTTTCTGTTGCTGCACTCCATTTTGCACACCAGATGTTGTCTGTTTGCTCTTTCTGTTTGATTTACTTTTGTATTCTGGTGAAGGCATCCAGTGTGCACATTTAGAGGCAACATTTTCACAGTTGTAAGGTCATAAAGATGATTTCTTTCTCATTCCTCCTGGCCTCACAATTCAGTGACATTTGTTTCACGAGTTCACATTTTATTCTGCTTCTATGGCGTGACTCATGAAGAATAACTGCTTTTTAAAATGGTGTTAAACGGTGCATGCAGCCATCAAAGATGATCAGTCGATATGAACTAACAGCTGGTATGCTTCTTTTGTGCTGCTAATCTCTTACCTTGCTTCACCACTGGATGTGTGTACGTGTGTGTGTGCGCTTGTGTGTGTGTGTGTGT